TTAAAACTTATGCAAAGATTTATGACAATTCACACACAAATGTGACTAGTCTACAAGTATTTGTGCATAAATTTCGCTCGCATCTGAGAAACGAGCACCTGATTTCGCATGCAGCTACTGACTTTACAAAACGCGCTTATCAATCGCGATATATCGATTGTTGATCTGTGTGCCAAGTTGGAATGCCGCCAAATCAGAAGGCGCCAGACAACAAAACAAAATTAAAACATACAAGCAAACACACAGCCAAACACAGACACACACATGATGCATGACAATTAATTTGGTTTTGGCACGGGTGCTTGACTGTGAGTGTATTCAGAGCCGGTTCAAATAGCTGCCAACTCATTTAGCTAATTGTCTTGCGATTGAACCGATAAACGGCCGAATATTTAACTGGTCTCCAAGACCAGTGTTGATCAGATTGACTATGCGCTTTGAGCTAAAAGCAGTTTGCCGTCATTCGACCAGCGTATTTATATATAAATATACAAATATATATAAACTGGATGAAATTACTTCATCGTACTTTATATGGGCGGGTTGGTCAGAGGCGCCTGGCCAGGTGACGACGCTAAATGTTATGAATACATTAATAATCTGTTATTAAGTGAAGCCAATTAAATGAAACTCAAGCGACAGCTGTCAGCTCCCAGTAATGGGATAATAGAATAACAAATTTAAAAGCAACTCAAAATATAATTGCAAATATTAAACGCAATATGCGAATTAAGTTAATGATTGCCAACGCAAAACATTATTATTCGCCGTATTGTTTTGATTTTACTTTTGTTTTACTGCTTACAGTCATCATCATCATCATCCTTAAACAATGCCCATTGTTTGGCAGGAAGAACAAAGGGGTATAAAAAGTGCGTAGGCCGAAGGGGGCAATGCCAAGTAAAACATAAACAACATCCAAATGCATTCGATTTATGTGCAACAGTGCAGTTCGCCTTGCAAAATTGGGATGCGGACGCACACACACTCACTTACTATCATCTGTATCATTTAAAGATGCTTGGGACTAGGGAACGAATGGAGAATGAATACATAAGCATTCACTTCCTGAAGGTCAGCCCGTGATGGAATGCCATATCGAAATTTAAGTTGATTCATATTGAGTAACATTGCGCATGCCTTGCTTATTTCTGTTAATTTGCACATACATATGTTGAGCATAAAAATATACAAATGACGTGAAGACAAATTTGTAATAATCAAGTGGCATTTGAAGCGGAAATATAAAATTAAACCCTTAAGAAGTGCCATAACTTTGCCTAATTGATGGGATCTTAAGGAGACGGCGTACTTTAATCATAGCTTGACCTCTAGATTAATACTGCATTCAAAGTTCGAAACGCGATAATCGCTCCAAATTCACCATTAAATTGTACGCTTCAAAAGTGCTTGTAAAGATGTGTGTAAACTTTATATAGCCATAATTTTGTCAAAACTGATCGCTATTTGGAGGGGTGAAAATTTCTTATACCCATAACTTTGTCAAAACTGATCCGATTTTAAAAAACCAGGGCTTTTAGAACACGATTTGAACTCTAAATTAATACTACATTCAAAGTTTGAAACGCGATAATCGCTCGAAATTCATGTTAAAAAGTGCAGAGATGGGCTCAGATTTTCCATTACTTTGTGATCATAGTTTGACCTCTCTCATTTCAACTCCAAATTCATGTTAAAATATTGTCAATGTTGGTGAACAACATTTATAAGTTACATGATTTTCTGTTTTCGTAGATCGTCGTTTGATCGTCGGCCAACTAATCGTGGGAATGGAAAATGATGTAAATTATGATAGGGCCTAGAGGTGAAGCTAATCAAGGTCCTCATACGCCCCCAAGGAAATAACTCACGCTTGGCTTTTGCATAATTCCGATACAAATAAACTGAAATCTTTCTCAACAATTATGCACATTGGACAATTTATTTAAATATTTGTGTGTGTGTCTGTGTGTTTGAGTGTGTAAATAATGTCTGCAGTGGACGATTGAATGGTTCAGTGAGGAGTGAGTATCGATTCACCAAACCAAACCTGTTATACACCACTGCACTTGAGCTCATAATATTTGCTATTTTTGGTATATTGCCACTTTAACGCTGAGCCTACAGTTTCTTTTTTTTTTTGCCACATGCCACTCCCTGTCTAAATCGGCCCGCTGACTGAAGTGTGGAAGTTATGTTTGTGCATATTGATTCCATTAACAGAGCGGGGAGAGGGGATAGTTTATTTTGGACCATTGAGTGCGACTTGTGTGAAGTCAATTCAAATTGTGAATGCGTCAAGCAACAAGTTGTCCAATTTGCTTTTGCCTGCCAGTGGGCATGTTCCTCATTTGAATATTACGCAGTTCCCCGTCACCCGTTGCCCGTTTACCGCTGCAGAAGTGACCCAATTGGTAGCTTGTTTGTTGAGTTCTAGGCATGTCCATTACAACATTTGTATGTTGTCGTCACTTTTCAGCTGAGTCAGCCCGCAGCTCCCCCCGCGGCATGGCTGCATTTAGCCAAGTGTCGTCGAAGCAAATCGCATGCACAAATGGAGAGCGCGCTAATTTGAATGTAGATTTTAATTGTATATTTTCGCTTTCATTGAAATTCAGATTGTCTGACTGATAGTGGTATTGAGTTCTAAATGTAGTTATTACGGGCATCAACTCAATTATTTCCCTCTTATCTGCTTGATTCATATTTTTATGAATCATAGGCCTCAGCGACTTTTAAGCACGTAGGCCTCACTCACCCAGGGGACTCGGGTCACTCGGCAACACCCTTTCCGAATTGGCACACAGTTTGTTTGTGTAGCAGTTCCGCTTCAATATGCCATGGCGACTCCTGACACATCCAACTAATTCAGTCGTCGCTGTTTGCCTTTTGTGTGTATCGCAAATGTACAGATGTTTCATGTGTTTCATGTGTGTTACATCAAAGTACATTTGTTTTACAAATGCTGCTGGCTGTCAGCAAATTAGACACAACAACAACAGCAGCCGCAACAGCTACAGCTACAGCTACAGCCACAGCTACAACAATGCCCCAAATTGTTATCCATGTCAAAGATACACACAACAATATGCAGGAGTCACAAATATTGTACTCACATTTTTTAAAAGTTGACCTGGTTTGGTCAGCCCCTGCTACCCACAGAGCCTAGAAGTATTGGCTCTTAATTAAAGGGCCCAGGAAAAAAGCTTTTGCTTACCTACTATTAGAAAAGGAAAGTAATTACTAAAAACTAAAAGCTGTAAGAAGGAAAAGCTTTTGGAAAATAGAAGAAAATCATTTACAAATATAAACATAAATCAATTTACATACATAGACGCAATTTAAGTGAAAGATAAATTACGACAAATAACATCATGTCTATGAGTATACTCGAAAGGAGAACTTTGCGAGTAGATTATCTTCTTATCAAGCAATCAACAGTCGAACATGTTTTGGTTGATATCCGCCAATTAACATGCATTTGCTGTTGAACAAATAAGCCGTAAACCAGACAGGCGTGAAACCAAAACAGATTTAAGCAATTAGATTGGATCAATAATAATGTAGTGCATGGTACTTAAGCCGTGTCAGCTAATAACGGGTTGCAGACTGCCTATTAACTGCATTTGGTAACACAAATAAATCAATCAGACTGATGCCTCAAGCCAAAACACTGCAAGTTGTACAATTAAATGCAACCGCAGAAGCAACTCAAAAATTCGACATCGTTATTCAGTTGGCAAACAGCGAACATTAGATGTAAAGTGTAAATGTAAATGTTCACGAACATGTATGTATATATTTATATATATTTATGTAAATAAATATGAGTATGGTAAATCGATTTAGATTTCGTAAAATCACAGTTACGAGCATCCGTCGGGCTTGCATCCGATACGCTTACTCCCTTATACCCTATATATGAAGGAATGCGAAACAAGGGGTATATATACATATATGTACATATATTCGTACAATGTACAAATATTCGTGTGACTGCACACTTGTTATTGACATAGTTATCAATCAGTGAGAGACGGTGATTGTTTTCTATTATTATATGAATGCATCATGAATTATATATTGTATATGAGATATTGTCCCGAGATACTTAATAATAAGGGTGTTCCCATTATATATATTAAAATAAATTAGCAAAAATACAAATTTTACGACACAATTAAAATTTTGAAAGTCAAGTTGTGCATCGTATTTTAAATTTAATTATTTATCCAGACATATTTTTATGACTTTTCTATATAATTATTATATAAAAAGCTTTTAAAAACACAAAATATTTAATAAATGTTTGGCAAAAATAGATTTTTATTTGGTGTACGAAATGCCAAAATTCAACAGACGACGATAAACTTATTTATTACATGCACTTAATTATATTACTATAGTCGGTTATATATATATTAAACTATAAATGATTTGCAATGCTCAATTAACCACACCAAATTAGCTAATTAGCGTTGTAAGACTTCTACAGGGTATACAAGTACGTGTTGTATCGGGAATTGTTGTTGACAAATGCAAATTTGTACTTTTAAATAAGCCGCGCAAATATGCATAATTTATTTTCAGCTCTTTGTCGCCGTTTACCCGTGGCGCTCTTAGCAAATATTATATTTTGTTTGTCTTTGCCTCTTTTCTGTTTTCTGTTTTCTGAATGAATCAATGAATTGGTGGCAGCGTGCGAAATCAGCCAAAGATGCTGCAGCTTCTTCTACTTTGTGTATCTACAGATAAATACACGTAGATAGAACTAAACAAAAAAAGAAGGAGACTTAAATTTTGCAAAATCTGCATAATTAAAGAGAATAAACTCAGCGCGCAGCGTTTAGTAGGCAAATATCAATTATCAGTTGGAACACAAATGTCTTTTGCTTCAAGTGCTTTTATCCATTTCCGAGGCTAAATGTATTACGTGACCGAAAATTGTTTTCAAATGAATTAAAAAACAAGATAAATAGTTGTCGGATCTGTTTGCTTACCTCAGCCCTGAATTATGTGTGTGTCTAGAAGCCAGTTGTGGATATCTGTCAGCCAGTCAGCCAGTCAGCCAGTCAGTCAGTCTCTGCTGGCCTCGTTCTAATCGTGCATAGTTTTGGGCAGCAGCTTCCGAATCCGATTCCGTACCGCTGTCGGGCGCCTCGAAGAAGACACGGATACGGATGCAGATGACGTTCACGTTGCCTTTGATAATGTCTGAATAAACGCTTTTCTTTTTTCTGTTTATTTTTTTTAATCAATTTTAGGCATAAATGTATTTATGTATGTATTTTCACTTTTCACATGGCAGACGCTGCTGCAAAATACACGAATATTATCAATGCATGGAAAATGGTTAGCAAATGGCCTTGGGATATTTCACACGGAAGGAACGCGACACCGCACTTCAGTTGGACAGGCACACATACAAATACACACACACACACACACATGCACACATATATATCTACACACATTGCGGTCAGTGCTGCTTATTGGCATTGGCATTGTGGCGATGAATAAATGTATATAAATTTTGCAGCTTTATAGCTAAACTGAAGACAAAAGATACACTGGACAAGTGCTGCTGTCAGGCGGGCATTTAAATTATAACAAAGATGAGACAATTGAAGGCGGATGCAATACGAAGAAATGCACGAAGCTTAAAAGCAAAAGCAAATCAAAACACAATGTGGATCAGCGCAGCAGAAGAACGGACAAGTGCACATAATCAGCAACAGCCGGCAGCAACAACAACAACACACACACACTCACTCACTCACACACACACACAGTGCAACTATTCAAATGCAATCGAAAATGAAACATTGAGCTTATAGTTTTTTTGCAACGCAAGGGGGAGGGAGTTGGGGGACAACAGCAACAAAGTAAAAGACAAACACAAAAAAGACGAACGCACGCGTGAAGTTGCTTGCTGAACACGAAATATTCGCGTCTACTTTGTGCTCTGTGTCCGCCTACGAAGCGACTAACTTAACGTCACACAACAGACTGAAACTGAAGCGCCAGCCTCGACCAAGCGCTGGGCCTGGAGCAGCAGTGAACGTTGGCGCTGACGTTGACGCCGGCGTCGGCGCTGACGTTGACGTTGGCGTTAGCGGCTTTTTATGCGACCGATTTGTATTGTGAAACGAATGAGGCGAATATCATTATATAGAAATATATATAAAATAAAAAGTATACTCAACAAATTTTTGATAATTAACAAAAGCTATTTTGACAACATATGTGCTAAATTTCGATCACAACTTGAGCAACTTCCGTTTGAGATAAAGCAGCATACATAACTTATGCAAATAGAGATGATAAAAAGACTCTCGCTCTCTGTTGTGGGCGGGGGGCAACTATTAAGAAACTAATGCCCTTTTGCCGGATCCCACAGGTGCCTCGCATGCGCTCTGATTTTAAATATTTATACAAACTGAAGCAGGTAAGCAATAAAAGTGAGCATAATTTACAAAGGCGCAACTACAACTATCCACGTAGATATGGGCATTAAGTGCGGCATCTGTGCCTCATTTCAAATTCTATAAATAATTTGAAAAGCAGTTGATTCGAATTGCACATGGTGTGTGAAGGGTGTTAGCACTCAGCTAAGGGTAGCATAGGCCTGCCGCCAAAGAGGGGCTAATGTGGTGGCGTCGACTGGAGTCGAGTGGAGTGGGGCATAGCAAAAATACCGGAAAATAGCAAAACACATTCATACAAGTTGTTGAGACCAGCCGGCAACCGAACGAAAGAGACGCAGAGAGAGAGAGAGAGAGGGAAAGGCAGAGAGAGAGAGAAGTGAGAGTAACCGGCAAATGAGGCTGGCGTCGTCGCTGTTGACGCCAGCAGCAGCAACAGCAGCAGCGTCAGCGTCAGCGTTGGCTTCACACGTGGCGTATGCGTAACATTGCCGGCCACTGCGAGCTTTTGTGTGTGTGTGTGTGCATGCTGCACGCGTTATCAGCATGACATTATACATGTTGTTGCACGCAGACAAAACTTTATTTTAAATGCGCGTCTCTTTTATCGTGTGCCTCAGTTGTTATTCCTGCTGTTATTGTTGTGGTTGTTTCGTGTGTGTTGTGCTTGTTGCAATGCGCGTTGTCATCCTTGAGTCCTTTTTGGCTCTGTTTGCCGGCTGCCAATTGTTTATTTAAGCACCATCGGCGCCCATGCGGTGCCCATTGGCAGGCGTCGAACAAGTTCCCTACCCCCTCCCCCTACCCTCCCCTCCTTGATGGCTGTCTGCTGAGCATTTTTCTGTTTGTCTGCCTGCCTTGCGATACCCTGTAGCCATTTTAGAGTGTCTAAGATACATATTATCTAATTGTGCAAACGATTGTAATAATAAATAATGAATTACATTTTAAATGTATTTAAGCAAATCCAATTATTCACTTTATGTCATTCAAAACAATCAATATTTAAAGCTTCTATTAGTTGTTCAGTATTTGTAAGATATGCTTTAAATGTTATACAATTGCGGACAACTCGTAGCTAGACACAGGGTATATTTTCTTACATCAGCTCGTTGCAGAGCAATTTTACTTGTTATTGCTGCTATTGTCGGCACCGCCCCTTCCCCCGCCCTTCGGCACATGCCGCTGTCGTTGCTCTCGCTGCTGGCGTCTCGTTGCGCTTTCCGTTGGCGTTGTTATCGTGGATGTTGTCGGGCTTAAACGGCTTTTAGCGCAGTTTTCAGAGCCGACATGTAATCTGGTTAATAGTCGCAGCCATTCGATTGGTTATTGTGCATTTTTTCACACGAGCTGCTTAATTATGCACACACTTCTCGTCGCTCTGTGTGCTCTGTGCCTGCATGCTGCATGCCACATTTACATATATTCATATAAATATATCTATATGTTTTTCATGTCGCTCTCAAAATCTACATTAGCAGGGTTAAAGCTCTTAGTTTTTATCAGCTGCGACAAGTGCACCTGTTGCTTGGCTTAGGAATTTTTTTAAATTAAACACACACAAAAAAAGAAATCAATTCAAATCTCAGTTGAACACTTTAAGCCATGGCCTGAACTACGTGTTCTTTCTGAAATATAAAGAAAAACAAAAAACAAAAAACGAAAATAATCAAGAAAAAACAAAAGCCGTTGGCAATGTGTGCTTAAACTTGTTCAAACATCTTTTGCCTGATTTGCATTTAAGATACGCCGAGCACAAACAATAACAAATGGAACTATTTCCATATTGCAGATCTGTGCAACTTTTTTTTGTGCTGTTTATTCAATTATCAGCCAAATACAAGCAATTCCGATTGTGATTGTGATTATGGCTCAATCATAAAAAACAATAAACGACGTAAATACGTTTAAATGTAAATCATTTGTTTTTATTTCCATTTGTGCCGCTTTCATGTTCACAAAATAAAGCGAAACCTGATTGATAATGAAATGCAAATCAACTGTTATATTTTTAATGATCTAGTTTCGTTTGTTTGTCCAAATCGGCGCTTAGTGCGTTTTTAATAAACCAAATCATTAAAGCCGTGGGTTCTTAAATTTTTAACACCCGTTTAATATTTAAACTTTGAACATTAAGCATAAACTCTGTTTTCACTGATCTGGCAACTCTCTCACGGGCAATTTAAATGTCCTAGAGGACTTTCTTAGAATACTGAGAACAGTTTGCAGTGAACACTTTAAAAACAGCCGAGTCACAAGCCCGGCGAATTGGTACGCACCATCTGGCGGCAGAAAGATTTTCATGAGCGGCAGCTTGTGATTTTTTTAGTTAAACGTATACTGCCATCTATTGTTAAATTTAATATATCTACTTGTTACTGTACACAGTATTATGTGAGCTAACGACACCAGATGGCGCCCCACTATAGCGACATCTGTTTGCCCCTGCAGAGGGTATTTGATTTTCGTGAGAAAACATGTAACAAATTAATTAAGCAATATTAATTTGAGTTTGTACCAAAAAGTTGTTTTTTGCTTTATTAACAATTTCTATACAAAATTCTTAAATGTACGAAATGCATTATTTGTTATCGCCTAATTAAATAATAACAAATTGTGTTAGAATCAACTGAAGTATGTTAATGAAAATGGATAAAAAAGAGTTTTGGGCTATTTTTTGTTGTGTGTTTGTGTGTGTGTGTATGAGTGTATGTGTTTGTGTGTGTGTGTCAACGAAAATGTGCAACAGTAAATAGTAAATACAACAAATCGAGGAAGGGGAGGGGGGCTATAGGCAGCCGATGTGAAGGATGCAGGGAATCAGATCAACTATCTGGCGCCCACAACTTGAAGGTGCGATCGAAGGAGGTCGTCGCTATATACTGCGAATTGGGCGAGACATCCACAGCAATCACCTTATTGTCATGGCCTTGGAGCGTCTTGAGTGGCTGCCACGTCTTGTTCGACCAGATTTTGGTGGTCGAATCGTACGAGCAGGTGACCAGAAAGCTGCCCCCATCCTGCTGATACTTCACGTCCGAGATGAGATTTGTGTGCGCTGGAATTGTGTAGACGGGCTGACGTCGACGCAGGTCCCAAATCTTACAGGTATTGTCCTGCGAACCAGTCGCAATGTGAAATCCATTCGGCGAGAAGTCCGCCCCAAAAATGGCACCCAGGTGACCCTCGAGGAACATGATGCAGCGACCGGTGCGCAGATCCCAAACGCGTCCAAAGGCATCCAGGCCACCGGTGACCAGGACACTGCCATCCGACTGATAGCTGAGGCAGTGCACCGGCTTGGCGTGCCCCTCCTGATGCAGCACCTCCGTCTTCTGCTCCAGATCCCATAGACGCCACGATGAGTCGTAGCAGGCAGTGGCCAGGAAACGACCCGACGGATGAAACGATACCTTTGACACGCGATGCGGCATGTGTCCCGTAATATCAGCAATCGATTCCTCATTGCCAAAGCCCCACAACTTGACGGCACCATCATGGCCGCCCGACGCCATGGCCACCACATTCTGTTCGTCCAGATTGACACCCGGCCGGAGAGCAACGCCACCCACATAGCTGGCATGTCCGCGCAACGTCTGCTTCAGCTCGCAGTCGGGCACACTCCAGAGCTTGCACAGACCCGACCAGGAGGAGGTCATCAGCAGCGATGAATCGTGGTTGAAGGCAGCACTGCTGACCGGCCGCGTATCGCCCACTTGGGAGCAGAGTGGCGCCAGCGATTGTAGCTTCTTTTGCATCTCGACCATGCGACCGGCACGCGTTGCACTCGGCACCTCCTGTGCCTCCCTCGCGCGCTCCAAGCGATCCCGTGCCCGGGGCAGAGAGTAATCTGCTAACCAGAGACGTGCCACACGCAACGTTTCGGGTCCCTCGTGATACCACGTGGCCTCCTGTTCGCGCTGCTGCAGCTTACGCTCCTCCTCCTCGGTTTGCTTCTGCTTGATGGCATTCTCGCCCAGGCTGGCGAGCAGCTCCTTCAGCCTTCGCCTTCGTTCCGCCGGACCCTCGCCAAAGAAGCAGATGGGCTCGTTCAGCTGGCGCAGATTGCTCTTGATCTCCGCATCATCGGTGGACACGTTGATCTGTCGCGCGCGCTTCTTGCGCTCGAATTCCTCGAGCAGCGCCACCTTGTCCCGCTCCATTTCCGACTCCAGATCAAAATAATCATCGTCAATTTTATTCGCTAACGATGCAGCTGTGGGCGGCGCCATTGCGCCTTTTGTGTTGCTGGTGTTCGACTTTTTGTTCGCCTCCTCATAGGTATCTTCATCCGAGTCAATGTCCTCCAATTGGGCGCCAGTTGCTGTTGATGTTGTTGTTGTTGTTGCCGCTGTTGAGGCTGCAGCTGCTGCTGCTGCCGGCGTTGTGCCGGCGTTGGACGCCGTTGTGGCGGCATTTTGACGCTTGCGTTCTGTCTCCTCCAGCGAGCCATAGTGCAGAGTGCGCTGTCGCTTAATGTACTGGATATCGTCGTCATCGGACATTCTCTATGTTATCCAAAATAATTAATTTTTAAAACAAAAATTACGCCAACGAAATAAACAACAAAAAGCCACCGCAAACGTTTATCGCATCGATGTATCGATAATACTGACGCAATATCTAATGGGTTGATATTGAAATATCGATACCTTTTGCTTTGTACTCGTGACATGGTTAAGTGACCGTGACTCTGTTAAGGAAACATTTAGTTAACAGCTGTTAAATAAGAATTCCGCCGTAATTTTCCGTTTGGTTCTTTGTAAATCAGTTGTAATTTAACATTTACAAACATGTTGGCAATGTAACGCAACTCATTACCATGTTATGAAAGTTAACATTTTCCATGTCAAACATTTAACATCGTTCAAACAGTGACAAGGTGGCAAACAACTGTGACGAACTAAATGAACGGTGAGCGGTAGCTTAGTTCATTTGTTCAGTTTAGTGAGTCGCTCAATCGAACATTTTTCACAAAAGTCTGATTATTAATTTTCACCAAACAGAAATCAGGTTAAAAAAGCAATAATAAATATACGAAATTGGCTTGCACCATGAGCGCACCAAGCAATAAAATGTCCGCAACGGATCAGATGCGGGCGATGCTGGACCAATTGATGGGCACCACACGAAATGGTGACGACGGACGCGGCCTCAAATTTTCCGATGCACGCGTCTGCAAATCATTTCTGCTGGACTGCTGCCCGCACGACATACTGGCATCCACGCGCATGGATCTCGGTGAGTGTCCCAAAGTGCATGATCTGGCTTTTCGTGCAGATTACGAGAGTGCGAACAAGTCGCGTGACTATTACTACGACATCGAGGCTATGGAGCACCTGCAGGCCTTCATCGCGGACTGTGATCGCCGCACAGACTCCGCCAAGCAGCGCCTGAAGGAGACGCAAGAGGAGCTCACGGCCGAGGTGGCGGAGAAGGCAAACGCGGTACATTCACTGGCGGAGGAGATTGGCAAAAAACTGGCCAAGGCCGAGGCACTCGGTGAAGCTGGTGAAGTGGAGGACAGCATGGAGCTGATGAAGGAGATCGACGAGCTGCGCGGCAAGAAGATCAAAGCCGAGCACGAATACAGAACCTCAATGCCAGCCTCAACCTACCAGCAACAGAAGCTGCGGGTGTGCGAGGTGTGCTCCGCCTATTTGGGGATACACGACAACGACATTCGGCTGGCGGACCACTTTGGTGGTAAGTTGCATCTTGGCTTTCTCACCATACGCGAGAAGCTCATCGAGCTGGAGAAGACAGCAGCGCCGCGCAAGGCCGAACTGAAGCGCTCGGGTAAGATACCAGATCGCGAAGAAGATGGCCGCGGCCGGAATCGCTACTTTGTAGGTGGACGTGAACTGGATCGACGTTCGCGCGTCCATCGCTCCCGCTCCAGAGAGCGCCAGCGGCAGCGAGACGCAGAGAAATCAGACAGATCGAATGACAGGAGTGCCGACAGGGGAAGCAGCGCTCGAGAGGCAGAAAGTGAGCGAGGTAGTGCAGCCCAGTCACGGGGACGTGACAACGATGGACGTGGCCCCAGTCGTGGCAGTGGGCCTGACCAAAGTAATTCGCGTGATCATCGCGACAGGGAACGCGATGTACGTCGGGACAGAGACCGCAGCACGCGCAACGACAGAGGACGATTTGGCGGAGGTGGTGGTGGAGGTGGAGGTGGCGATGGTGGCAGCAGAGGCGGTGGCGGATTGTCGGATCGTCGCAGTGACAGACGTCGCTCACGTTCCAGAGACCGTTCACCACGCAACGATCGACGCAACAACTACAATAATAATAATAATTTTGGCAACCGACGACGCTCCTTCTCCCGCGAACGCTATCGTCGCTAGGGGCTGCTGACCTACGAACCGAGACAGAGGCGGAATCCAGTTCCACACATGGCTGAGTGTCCAGCGCACGTACGTAGCAATAATTACAAAACAAAAAAAATACAATAGAAAACACAACAGAAACGAAATAATATAACTACAACTAAAACTAAAAGCTATAGAACAGAAAAACAAAAGCAAAGTCAACTGATTGCATTATTATTTAATTAATAAATGACTTGAATACACAATAGATTCAGACATTCAAATATTTTTGTAAAGTAATAATATTAATCCTTATCTTTGATTTTCATCCGTGTAAACAGAAAAATCAAAAACATTACTTTGAGCTGAAACTCAGAGCCTAATAAGTAATTACTACAATTAATATACTAGTTTCGACAACCGCCCCGGCAAGAGTTGAATTGTAAATGTGTACGGTACGTAGAGCCAGAGTCCCAACTAAACTACCACTACATTTACAATCCAAAACAAAAAAAACAAAAACAAAATTTAAAAAAAAAATACAAAATTGAGCTATTTAATTTCTGTCAGCGCTGCTGCAGCTGTGGTGCGTATTTGGACTGTATTGTTGGCCCCGTTAGGGTAAGCCTATTCTTTCACTCTATCTCTCACTTAAAAAATTGTAAATTGTAACCTTTAAGCGTTTTCAACTTGAAGTCACTTTGCAGCCGTAAACGCTGGGTACGTATTGAGTGCAAATTAAAAACAAAATCAAAACGTCCAACCTTTAATGGTTTTTCGAAATGTCTAGGGATCTCGCTAATTGCAGAGTGTATGTGATAGACATGCCCGATATATGCACATGCATATAGTTTTTTGGTACGTATTCGTCATCTGAACCTAAACCGCCCCGATGATTATTCATTGGGATTGCTTGTGTATGTGTTGTTTTGGGTATGTATGCATATATTGTTATAATCGTTAGAATATTAAATACATAGCGACAAATTTTGGGTACGTATGCGTCAAGCTGCAGCTGTAAATGGATTGTAGGGGTTCGTTCGATGAGCACATTTAACGTACGTATTTCACAACAACAACAACAAATCAAAATTTTTGTATTAAAATCTCTCGTAACGGTTCATGCATACATATAACAACAAAATTTCCATATTTGACTTAATCTCTTTCTCAAAATAAAGTTATTATGCCTAACGTACACAGAAATGATGCTGGCTAACCAAACTGGCTTAGTATGTGAGTATTTGGGCATCATCTATTCTTCAAAAACGTAAATTAAACAATTAATCCTCAAAAGTTAAACTGGGTGGCTCTTCTATCGTTGTTTCTTTTAACAGCATTTAAAGAGACGTTGATTTTTAGTATGGGATTGAAGTTTAATGAGTAAAGATACGGCATGGGGCAAAAGGGCCATCAGTTTTGTGGGACACTTACATATATGTAGGTAAGATTTATGCAAACAATCTCTAAACTTTTCATTTTGAATTTTTAAACCTAATTATATGTTTAATAACCATATTGGACGTAAGCAGATTTGTAAAAATTTCACATTTGTAACTTACTATAACGCCAAATAAAATTTGTTTTTGGGTTCTACGCTAATCATTTTTATATTGGGAAATTTTAATAATCGGTGCTTCACTGGAAGGATATACCTTGATCTAAGGTGGGTCAAGATGAACAATGGGAACCAGCAACTGATATTAATTTAGGAGCTTACTTCCTGGTGAGCTCCAAGATAAATGACGCACATAGATGTAAATCAATCTTTTGTGCATGTCGCAAGTTAACAATAAAATTTAAAGATTTTAAACTGAATAATTCTTGTATCCCAATTACAATACATATTTATCTTAGATATTTACAATAGCCGATCAATAAAAATTGAATACTTAAAATATAAATTAATTCTTAAAAAAAATTAAACAAAAAAATATGTATTAAAGTTTAAAACTAAAAACAACCTTGTTTGTATTGAAGGACAAATTATTTATTCTGCCGGCGATTGCCAAATTATGGGGAAAGTTTTCAGTGTCTGTTAACTGCATTCCCATCAATTAAGGGTTAAACAAACCATGCTTTGCGCGCCAAATGAATTGTCATTGCCACTTAAGAGAAAGTTATACTCAAAATGGCACTGTTAAAAACTATCGCCGAGAGGTGGCAACGCCAAACCATTCCGCCATCTTTTGCGCAGCTGCTGTCGCTCCGCCTCTGACGGAAATTCTTCGCACTAAAAGTTAACTATATAGTTAACAACTGATCAATAGACGCTACTTATGCATAAACGTTGCCAACTTCTGAAATAAGACGGGAAAGGTGAGTAAAACCGTTTTTGCCAAAGTTTCGCGTTGTTTTCTATGCTCGCTAAGGCTTGGCGCTGCGAGAAATCAATAGCCGCTTGGGGTCGCTGGACGCTTAATGTCCGCTGTAGGTCGCCACCAGAGCGACGTTTTTTTTTGGCGCTAAAATTCATAAAAGTTTGTCAATGCTTACAGCTAAAATGTCAAAACGCACGCGCGACGCCGATTCAGAGGATTTGCAGTCCTTTTTAGCCAATTTTCACGAGGATATCGATGAGGGCAACGCCGATGCCAAGCCAAATGCCGCCGCCGAAGAAGAACAAGAAGAACGCCTGGACGAAGGGGAGGACGATGATGATGATGAAGACGACGACGATGACGACAAGTACTTTATTGATGACGAAGGCAACTGTTATATCAAAACTACGCCCAGGAAACAGCAACAGATTAGAAAGAAACTCAAGCCACAGACAACCGCCTCAAGTGCATCAGAAGCATCCGTTGCAATACGCAGCGCTAACCGTTCAATGCCCAAAGGTATGGTGTAGGATTACTTTCATTGATCATGTTTTACTTTTGTGATCATGTTTTACTTTTGTGCCAGCTATTAACCTCCGTCCAGCCAAGTCTAAAGTGGAGCAGTCTCTACAGAAAACACCCAAAGCAATTAGCATACGTCCGGCTCCACCAAAAAGGACGCCCAATAAGCCGACTTCAGCAGCAGCTGTTAACACGCCCCGAGCTTATTTACGTTCAGCAAAAGGCAAAGCCAAACGACCGGAGTCGGAGACGATAAACAAAGTGGTAATAGAGAAATTGGAGGACATTGAGGAGCTTGTGGATGATCCGAGCGAAGCGAATGTTAGCACAGTTTCCATTGATATACCAGAAACAAATGTCGATCTCAGCGCAAGCAAAAACAACAACTCTGATGATGAGGTCTACGAATTTGATGACAATGCGGCCAACGTATCCGCTCGATCGGATGTAGACTTTGTGCTAAGTGGTAACCAGTACAAGCTGAAGCCGGTGGCATCCAACGCGGCTGCTGCGCAGAAATATGCCTGCTCTCATTGCAGCTATACGACCAGCAAGAAATTTCTAATCTCGCGGCATGTGCGCTCCCACGACGCCGAACTCTCGTTCAAATGTTCGATCTGTGAGCGCGGCTTCAAGTCCAACATGGGTCTAGTAAATCACTTGAACACGCACATGGGCAACAAGCCGCACAAATGCAAGCTCTGCGAGAGCGCCTTCACCACCAGTGGCGAACTGATACGCCACACACGCTACAAGCACACCAAGGAGAAGCCGCACAAGTGTACCGAGTGCAGCTATGCCAGCGTCGAATTAACCAAGCTGCGTCGTCACATGACCTGCCACACTGGCGAACGTCCGTATCAGTGTCCGCACTGCACATACGCCTCGCAGGACATGTTCAAGCTGAAACGTCACCTGGTCATCCATACGGGCGAGAAGAAATACCAATGCGACATCTGCAAGTCACGCTTCACCCAATCCAACTCGCTCAAGGCGCACAAGCTGATCCACAGCGTGGTGGACAAGCCAGTCTTTCAGTGCACTCTTTGCCCCACGACATGCGGACGCAAAGCGGACCTCCGCACCCACATGGCCAACATGCACACCTCAGAGAAGCCGCTCGTCTGCAAGCGTTGTGGCCAGGAGCTGCCCGATCGCTATCAGTACAAGCTGCACATTAAGTCGCACGAGGGCGAGAAATGCTATCGATGCAGTCTCTGCAGTTATGCGTCGGTGTCTCAGCGGCATCTGGACTCGCATATGCTGATACACACAGATACCAAGCCCTACAAGTGTGAACTGTGCTCGCAGGCGTTCCGGCAACGTCAGCTGCTGCGTCGTCATGTAAATCTAATCCACAACGAGGACTATAAGGCGCCGGAGCCGCGGGAGAAGGTGCACTCCTGTCCCAGCTGCGAGCGTGTTTTTACCCACAAGGGTAATCTGATGCGGCACATGGAGACACACGATGATACGTTGAATGCGCGCGAGGAGAAACTGAAACTTAAATTGGGGCGCAATGTGCGCTTGCAGCCGGACGGTACAATTGTGACTTTGGTCAATGGCAACGATATCGATTCTCTGGACAAAAACGATGGTACTTCCATTGACATCGATGAGCAGTATGAGCTTACTGAGATCCAGGAAATCGAGGATGAGAACGTGGAGACGGAGGCGGAGGAAAGACCGAGCGAAGTTATTATGGAGACAATTGCCAGTAAACCCAACTTAAGAACGAGAAGCGCAAAGAAACCGATAGGCAAAAGACAGCGCGAGCAGAGCTCGTCCGGCAAGCCCATTATTATCAATCGACAATTGAAAGTACCCCGGGTGCATCGCGAGCTGAAAACTCAGGGCGGCACGTTCCGCATCAAGGAGGAGCTGGAAGCCAATGAGTTCACCGTGGAGTTGCAGGGTGACGATGATCAGTTTATCGTACAGCTGGTCAACGATGACAACGAAGTTGTGGTCAAACGTGAACCCAAAATCAATGCCAATAACTGTTTTGGATTCGAGGTACGCTCATAAAATCACTTAATATCTATGTAGATAATATGTTTTCTATCAATTCGTCAGGATGATGCCGATGCGGAATATGATGAGTATGTTGAACCCATGGCGGAGGTGGATGCCACATCACAGGAGTTTCTGCAGCTAATGGACATGATTGAACAGGATGCGTAGAATTGAGGTGTGAAGATATGTGTACAAATAAATGTATAAGATATTAAACGAAAAACGATAAAACATTCATAAATACAATATTTATTTAAATATTTCAAAGATACTTTCGTGTATGACAATATATGTGTGTGTGTGTGTTAGTCGCACAATAGGTTTTACGAGGTGCATTTCTGGCGTGCACAATAAATTCTCGACTTTTCTCCATTCTTTCACAGTAAATCTGTTGCTATCTCTTCAGCATTTGTAGTTGTTTTTCGCTTACGTGCCATGTATACAATAAAAATATATTTATATATATATATGTGTATATATAGTGCAAAAAATTCTGCTGTGCAGTGCAAATAGTTTAACATTTTCTTTTTATCATTTTAAATATAGTTTCAAAGTTTCTTTGTTGTTGCTTAAAACGTTAACAATTTGTTATTAAATACATATGAATTGTTTTTTTTTAGTTTTTTTTTTTTGTATAATAGCTGAACTTTTGTAACAAATGTAAAATGGAACAACGTCGATAAAGGAAGTGCACATTAAGTTTCGATCGAAAGTGATTAATGAGACATTTAGAAATTTTGAAAAAATGGCGTGCATATAAAATACATTTAGAAATATAACAGTCAAAAAAAAGGAACCTCTTATATATTTACATACTAGTACCAATTAAGAACCTATAATATAAACGAAATTATAATATATGGGACTTACTATAAAAACATAAACAAATTCATGGGAAGCGGTGCTATGGCTTTTTGACAGCTCTTCATAAGCTTGGCTTATTAATTAACTTTTGGCTTAACAATTTTTGTAAGGCTGCTGCTTGTTTTAGTTTACAGTTGTATATCATTTCAATCATTTTCTTTTTTTGTGTATAGAGTTCAAAGAGGGATACAAAATCAAACCTCTTGGAATAAATAAATAAATGATCAAACAGTTTGCTCTGTAGCAGCTTTGGGAGGCAAAATTAGAAACAAGTGCATAAAATAAAACCTTAGAAGATTTTCAATTTTCGCAAAAATCGCAACAGTGGCGCACTAACGCATGCTGATTGCTGCTGTTGTTGTTGCTGCTGCAGCTGATGATGCCGATGTTGCTGTTGCTGATGTTGCTGTTGCTGGTGTTGCTGTTGCATTGCTTTTGGAATAGCAGCAAAAGAGGAGGTGACTCGGGCTCGGGCATAGGCTATGCCGTTTGCAATTCACAACTGCTCCCTCTTTTGCCTCTTTGGCTGTTAATTACAATTGAGCGTGTTCTGGTTGGGACTGCGTGTGACATTGTTGTGATTGATTTGGTTCGACTGTGTAATGCTGGCACTATCGCTGGTCTGCCAGGACAACAGCTTATTGAGCAGCCTATCCAAATAGGGATTACCGCCCAGACGCGTCAACTACAAAAGCAATGAAAAACACATAAGATTCGTTGCAAAGGATTACAAATTACATGATTTAAGGTAACCACCTCGGCGCGTGCCTCCAAATCCAGCGATTCGAGCACTTTACGTGTGTACTGAAAGCTGCCCAGTTTTTCAAGCAGGCCAATGCAATACTTCTTGACCTCTATGTCGTGCGTGCGCTGTCGCAAAATATCTGTGTAAGGAGAACAGCAGGTTAATGAGTAGCAATAAGCACACGTGGCGAGGTTAGCTCAACGACTTACGCAAAACCTGTTTGTCCTGCTTCTGCGAACGCACTGCATGTATGACTGGAAATCCAAACTTGCCCTCAGTGAGATCCTCAGCGAAACTCTTGTTCTCCGTATACTGCAACGGTAAAGAGAATATTGATTATAGTCTTTCGATGTGTCCTGGTTATATATATTGAACAGACTCACTTCCTTCAAACTCAGGTTGCAGTAGTCGTCACGTATTTGAAAATATAGGCCCAAAATGGCTGTTAACTTTGTGTAGTCCTCCTTGTTGGCACTAAAGAGCTGCATAAGGCGTATGGCCAGCATAAACAGGCCTCCAGTCTTCCGTACAGTCATCAGTTTGTAATCAGATTCGGAGGGACATACAAAACTATCGCGCCAGTAGATTTCCATGCCCTGGCCGCGATGCAGTTCCAGCAATTGTTCCGTATACACCTTTGTCGCCTGTACACATAGAAAACTTAATTAATCCAGAAGTTATCGATTTACTGATTAAAGTTGCAGCTTGCCTCTGGATGTCCCAATTGCTGCACCTTCTCTAGGGCCAGGAACAGTGTATAGTTGGCCGCATTGATAGTGCTGGCCACGCCATAAATGGAATGGGCAACGGGCACACCTCTGCGAAGTATCGAATTGTCTTCAATATCATCAATGCTGTAAGTTAGTGTTAAGAACACACATGTAGCACTCAGTTAATTTGTTCTATCTATTATAATCTGGAACTACTACATATGTGGGGCATTTGAAGGCTGCGCAATGAGAAGTACTTTTATCTTTTATCTTTTTTATTTTTAGTTTAAAAGCTGGTAGCTAAATATTGTTATATTTAGTAGTAGTTATCGAAAGACAGATTTTAGAGGCATTCGTTAGTAAGATTAATAATGACAAAATGGCATTAATTCTGAATTTCGGTGACAATTTGTCAAATGGTCTATTTCTACACATTCTTAAGAGCAATTATTTAAAGTAAACTTATCCCAAACACCGTAAAAAGTCGGAAAGCGCCGTTTCTAGTTACACAAATATTTAATAATTTAAATATTTCGCTTGACATCAACAATTAACAATATTGGGGTTGAATCAATAGGTTTATCAAATAGTTAACAAGGGCAGACCAAATGTTAATATGTTATCGAACTGTCCCATAAATTTCTTATCAATGGATAGCATTTGACTATAACTGGGATGTTGGAGCAGCCCTCGCAATATGCTAAGCACTGGCAGAAAACAAACATATCAACAAATGTACATAAATTTAAACTCACTTTGAGGCCCATATCACTTGAATAACACGCCCGATGGCAACGAAAAGGAAGGCAACGACGGGCACAGGGACAGGGACAGGAACAGGGACAGAGAAACTGGGCAGCCAGCATTTTGCGTAATTAAAAAATGTTTGCGAGCGCGCGAAAGGCTGCAAACATTTGAAGGGAATTGAGAGGCGTGGGCGTTCAAGCGAGCCGACAGCAACAGCGACAGCTAAATGGATGGAGGAGGGAAAGGAGAGGAGATGGGATGCGAAAGTGGGCTTAGTTGGGTGGCTGGCAGTCAGTCAGTCAGTAAGTCAGTCAAACGGAGCGGATCGGGGTGGAGCGGGCGTGTTGCATTTGCAAGAGTTTTAACATTGTGACAATGGCTGTCGACAAGCTGACTAAATGACAATGCTGCTGACTATGATGGCGTTGGCGATGGTGATGACGATGACTATGACGCCGCCGTCGCCTTTGAAGCTGTTCTTATCCACTGAACGATGGGCATAGTTGTGAAAACCCAAGTTTTTGTCGATGTGAAAATGCATTTCAACCAAAAGAAAAAAAAATTACACTAGCAAGAGGAAGAGAGACTAGTGTAGGAGGCCATTTATAAGGCGGTAAGTGGGCACAGGAGGCGAGCAGCGATAACAGCACTCAACTGTCAGCCCATCACCGCCCACCACAACTGGTGCCAGCGAACAATGCAGGATATTAAGCAGCATTAAGGACATTTCAGCACATTTGCATTTGAATAACGGGCGTAGCGACAGGTGGCAAAGAGACGGGATTAGCCTGCATGATTGAAGCGAAAAACAAGAAAGAAAAAGCTACGAATTTGCTTTGACTTCAACGAATATTTAATGCCGTTGCCGACATATAAAAAACCAATATAATATTTTAAGAAAAAACGATTGCCAAAGCTATCTACTGGGGGCACAATAGGTCAGCAGATCGCAGTGCATACTCCACCAATAGAATAATAATCTATCAACTCAACTTCCGGACATGACTTTACCAAGTTGGCTGTTGGCTTGACCGTTTCGATATGGCTGCTAATGATAACCAAGACTATGCATATTTAAATTGTGTCGTCAAGGTCTTCGCCAATGCGTTACACATTTCGTGACAAAGTTTTAATGCCCATTACAAGGGTATAACAAGACAGAAGCACAGTCAAACAATGGAAGCGACAAAACAACTGATAAGTTGACACACATCCATACATACAAAGAAATATGCCCTTAAAGAATTCTCTATAAGGCATCATTCATTGGATCAATTAAAGCGGCCGATGATTTGCCAAGCACTTTAATTGCCGGAGTTCAAAGTGTAACTGTTGCGCATCTTTCAGGCTCTATTTAAACCACATATGTACATATTTCTCGCCCTGCCACCCTTTCCGATTCGACAACAATGAAAAATCTAAATATTTAATGCGATTCCATTTGAGTGAATGTATAGGTACAATTTGCAAATAAATTCAATTGAAATTTTATCATAAACAGAACGCTGCGTGCTTTTGTTAACATTTTGGAATTGATTTCGAGGCAAACACCGAAATTGTGCGCACACAGCGCCTGTGGCAAGTATTTACATATATGTATGTGTGTGTGTTTTCAATTTTTGCAAGGATGAGTCATCTACCTAAGTTCTTAGCTAAGTGCCCACACAATGATGATAATGCAAAATATACTTATGTATATATAAAGAGAATAATATGAGAAATATATGTATGTATATGCATTAAATATGATATTTATCATTTCGCAGCTTGAACTGAACAATAGCAGCTGCGAGATAACAAAATGCTCAGTTGCTTTAACCAAGAAGCACTGTACTGGAAACTCAGACGCATTTCTTCCAGCGATAAATCTAATTTGCATAGAGAAAAATAAACACATTTCTAATATAGCAATTCATGCGGATTCCAAATAGTTTATCTACTAAGGTGCTTTAAGAAATAAAAAAAAATGAACCTAATCTATAGCCTAACATTTGAATATCTTAAAGTTTGCAAGAGCTGCTTTTTTTTTTGGCTATTTCTAGCTTGTTGTATACATTTTTCAATTCCAAAGAATTTCGCTTACTTTTTTCCGAGTATCCCAAGTACATGAGTATTATATATACTTTTCTCGCCTCAACCGGAAAACATTTTCAGTTCATTCAAATTTTTTTATTTTTAATTTTACGCGCTAATAAATTTCGAACTAAAATCGTATGCAAGCAAAGCAATAAAGGGCGAGTAATAACAACAAACAAACATATGTAAATATAAATACAAATGTGTAAGTGTGAAATGAGATAAAACATGATGAGGTGAAGCAAATAGGTCGAGCATGACAGATGAGCGGTTTAAAGTAAACAAAGGCCAAAATGCACAATCGAACTAGGCAAAGGTCAACTGATTAGTCAAAATATACAAATGCGATGAATGAGACATTAATATATCAAAATTGGCAACATTCAAAATGCAAATCGATAGACATAACAATATAATGTTTAATATATAATGCAAGGATGGGAATAACATTGATAATAAATAAATGTTCACTCACAGTAAACTGGAATTATGTAGCATTTGGACAATCTCGCCAATCTGCGTTAACTTTTCGGCCGGTATGAGCAACCAGTGATTGAAGGCCAATGCCAGCTCAGAGCGAAACTGTTTGCCAGGTATTTGCTGTATGTACGTAAAGGGCTGCAGCAGAATCTGTGTGTGTTGGTGTGTGTGTGTGTGCGTGGGCGATATCAACATCATGTAAATAAGCCACAAAATAAAACAAAAAACAAAAATAAAAAAGAAGTAAACGCAAAGGGTTAGTGCTCGTTTAGGCTTTTGGCCAGCCAACCAACCAACAGACAGACGACAGTTCAAAAATGTCAAAGTTCAAGTGACATCGTCGCTGTTGCTGGTTAACAGTTAACTGGTTGTGGGTTCTTTTCAAGTGGGTTGGCTACCTCGTCCTGCTCCTTTTGCGTTGATTTATCTTTGGTTTTTTGCAGTATGCCATTCAGTTCGTCCATTGTGTGGCGCGTGTTGTGTTTGCGTTTGCGTTTACTTTGTATTTGTTGATTGTTCACGACAGTGGGTGGCGAGGCGATGCGGGTGGTGGCGGAGTGTTGACGAATCTCCCAAAACGCGTGACTAGAATTGTTTGTTTCGCCGCTCGACGTGGTTAACTTTTGGGCAGCTGGTGGCAGACAGACACAACGCACAGCACAACAGTTGAACCTACTATAAACAGACTGAAGAATATTGTTGATATCTTATCGATGCATCGATATCGATTGCATCCTATTTTGTTCTGATACCATGATATCGTCATAATTTTTTCAGGTATGATATTTAAGTAAGTCGATTAAAAGCTGAGCGGCAATTTAAATCAAATTATTTTATGTTGTGTTATGAAAAAACTAAAAGTAGAAAATATCAAAACTTGTGGAAATATACTTAGTTATTTTCATAACAGAGTTATGTGTATTATAATTTCGTATTTTAATGAGTAACTGGTGATATACAGCCGTGGAATACCCTTAAGATTCATTAAATTATAGAATTTTTTAAAAATAGTTTTGCAACACTTCTCTTGTCGCGATTCTGAAAAAGTATCGATAACGATTAATTAATTAATAAGGCAAGGTGCCTGCGTGGAAAATAAATAAGCTTTTTAATATTTTAACGCTTTGTTTGTGAGGAAACTCAATCCAACAATGGCGGCATCCCAGCCCGTGCGCATGAATTGGCATCCCAATATGAAACATAACGAAGTGGAGCGGTAAGAAGAGCATGAACTCAACCAGTCACAACAAAAACACCTGTATTCTTGTTTTTCAGATGGATTTGCATATATCCTGCCTATATTAACAGCAAAAAAACCCGCCAGGAGGGTCGCCGCCTGCCCCAAGAGAACTGCGTCGACAATCCAACGTATGTGGAGATTCGCGATGTGCTCTCCGTGTCCAATATGCATTTTGTTGTGGAAAACAAACAGTACTGCCGCGAGAAGAGTAGGGAACTCCAGTTCCGAGGACGTGTTCGTGTCCAGCTACGCAACGCGGATGGAACACTGTGCAGCAGCGAGTTCCCCACGCGCGAGTCAATCATGCAGCATGTGGCCAGCAAAATACCGCAGCTGAAAACGCGACAGAACAAACCGAATGAGCTGCAGCCACAACCACAAACGAGTGGAGCTGCCGCCTCTGGTGGTGCCGGTGGCGGTGGCGGAGGCAAAAAGGGCAAGGGAAAGCGCCGCTGAATCGAAAACAAAATTTCTTTATGACAGTTGTTTAGTTGGTTTTTTGTAATAAATTCTATAACAAAGTATTTCATGTGTGTAGAAAGTTCAAGTGCAAGAATTCGACCTTGGTCGATTAAATTTAAGAAATTAGTACGCATGTCTAAGCTGACCCTAAAATGGAAGCAGCTTAAATACTTGTATTAATAAACAATTGTGCATATGTGCTCAATCGAAAATGTCTCAAGATCAGACGGTGTCAGCATAAAATTCCGGCGAACAGCAAAGCAAAACAAATCACAATCAAAATTCGACTGACAGTCACGAAGCGGTAGCTGTGAAAAACTAAAATAGCGTCTACGATTTCACCCAGTCAGCGTATAAAATCCACAGAGTGTCGCCAATGCACAGCCAAAACCCAATTGGACAGGTACGAGCGGAGTACACACAATACACAATGCAACGGGATAGACAGAATATAATTTACTCCACTTGTGCCATTCTATTGATGGTATTGGTGCTGGTTACCCAATTAAGCGTCACTTCCGCCTCTGGTGTGACAACAACGACCTCGACAGCAGCACCAGCTTCGACGTCCCGCTACGATAATCCCCTGGTGGAGCACAAGCATGAACGGAATTGTAAGGCGCTCTGTGAGCATTGCGGCTGCCTGGGATTCTACTGCGGAGAGGAGTGCATCTGCGAGTGCAACAACGAAAACTCCGATACGGAATGCATTCACACCATGCAGGTGAATGCGCGCACCCTGAACACACCCTTCAAGATCCTTATCCAGGGACCCAGCAACAATCGCTTCGTGCGCAACGCCCAGCAGTTCGAGCAGAAGCGGGAGATGGTCACCAGAAGTGCTGTTGACCCCAAGAGCACACGTAATCGTCGCTCCACAATTATCATCTACAAGCCATCGTCGTCCTCTTCTTCGGGTGGAAAGCGAGCTGCTTTGTCCTTGAACGCTCTGGAGACACCAGAGACAAAGGCAAAGATATCGGAGCTTGGACGTCATAAACGTTCCGTGGATCATCTGGAATGGTTCAATGATTTCGCCAGTTCGCTGGTGCGTCCGTCACCCTTGGGCCACCGTCAAAAGCAGCGCGAGGCAAAGGCTGCCGCATTCAAGCGTCAGGCAGTAGATCCAATACCAAGGCCACTTCGGGAACCCTGGTTCCTAGAGCAGCCACGTCTCAATCGACCGGCTCCATTGTTCAAGCGTCATCAGCTCAATTACGACTCTCAAAGCTCAAGAAATGCAAAGAAAAGCCGGAGAATACGACCCGTTTCCATTGAGGAGGAGGAGTCTGAGACTAAAGCCCGTAAGCCAGGGCCAGATATACGTCCGATCCGTGATGCGCTTCAGGTAGTGGAGCGTATTCCTCGCGTGCTTCAGGATACGGTAAGTCATTTGGCCGCCGACGAAAACAACGGCGATGTCTTCAGTCTGAATATTATGAACGATGTCCTCCCGAAGAAAATCAAGCGCAAGGATAAGAAGCAGTTAAGCCGACGTCGCATCAATGCTAAAGATCGGGATGAACACGCCGCTCCAGCTGCTAGTGCCGTTACACTTGCTCCTCTTACCCTGCCCGCCGCTCCACTCGCACCTGGTGGTCTGCTCCTGCCCTGGCTGCGTCAGCAACGCTTGAGGCGTTTGCGTGGACACTAATATATGCGATTGGCTATTAACTTGGGGTATCTCATTTAACACTGTTTTATATTTTTAAGTATGCATGGGATGACTGTATATAAGTCTATGTATTTTGGGCTTTAGAAAATAAGTGTCTTCCTTTGGCAATTTTGTAATTTCCCTTAAATGTATTAAAAATTTAAACTATCCAATCGAATTTGGCGTGTTTAATTAACGAATCTTTGTTTTTTGTTAATGCTGTTTAGTTTCGTATATTATAATAAGGTCATACCTTAAAACAATATACCCAAAATTCAACATTTTAGCTGCATGAAATCTAAAACAGTTTTCAGTGTTTTGTGCTGCATGCATTCCAGCTGCAACTGCAAAAACGCACAAAACAATAACCGTAGTGCATACTTTTAGGGATCGCCATTAATCGAAGCCAACACAAGAGAAGAGAGCGAGAAAACGACATCTCACTCAAACGTTGGCCGTAGATGTCAACGGTCTCCAGTTGAGCTGATCAGCTGCGCTGAGCAGTGTGCCTTCAGCCGTTGATCGAAATAGACTTGTTTGGCGACGTTTCAGCAGTGTCTCAGCAGGTAGCTAACAATTTGGTAATATGGAGTAAAGAAAATACAAATCAGTACTAAGCGCGAGCCACAAAGAGAGAGAAATTTTCTTTCTCTTGTGAATAAGCTTGTATGTGTTTAAATGTGTGTATATGTAACGTTACAAAGTGCAACAAATTACAACAACAACAAAAGAAAAACAGGCACATCGCCGTATCGCTCGGCTGCTTGTGTGTTAGCCCCACTTGTTTTGATGGTGTTCGCCACCAAGAGATGATGACCATAATCATACACATATACAAACGTGTGTGTATCTTCAAGTGTGCCTGTCTGTGTAGTAACAAAACAAAAATAAAAACAATGAAGTAAATGCGACAAAGATACAATGTATATAAATAAATACATATGTGTAAATATAGTTGTACGTAAAAGCACCAAGAATACAATCCGAAACTAGGCTAGGCTTCGAAATACTTTGTATTCATATTCATAGCTATAGCTGCTTCCATAAAAGAGTTAATTGAAATTTGTTCGTCAATTAAAGTGTAAATCAATGCATCTGACAATTGGTTTAATAAAAAAAAAAAAAAAAAAAAAAAAAAAATTTTTTTTTTTTTTTTTTAAATTAAAAAGGAAAATAAAAAAAATTATTTTTTTTAAATAAAAAAATTTTTTTATTTTTTTTAAAATTTAAAAAAAAATTTTTTATTTAATTATTTTATATAAATATTTTTTTTTTTTAAATAAATAAATTGGGTTTTTTTTTATGGGTTGGTTTGTTTTTTTTTTTATTTTTTTTTTTTTTTTTTTTTTTTTTTTTTTTTTTTTTTTTTTTGTTTTTTTGTGGTGTAAAAAATTTTTTTTTTTTTTTTTTTTTTTTTTTTTTTTTTTATAATTTTATTTTTTTTTTTTTTTTTTTTTTTTTTTTTTTTTTTTTTTTTGTAAAACCACAAAAAAGGTATTATGAAGGGGGGAAAAATTAAAAAAAAAAAAAAAATATTAAAATAAATTTTTTTTGTTTTATTTTTTTTTTATAAAATAAAAAAATATAAAATTTGTTAATTTAAATTTTTTATAATTTTTTTTGGGGTTTTGGGGGGGGGAGGGGGGGGGGGGGGGGGGGGGGGAAGGGAAACAAAAAAGTTTTTCACAAAAAGGGGGGGGGGGGGGGGGGAGAAAAAAAAAGGAAAAAAAAAAATTTTTGGTCTAAAAAAAAATTTAAAGGGGGGGGGGGGGGGGGGGGGAAAGGGGGGGGGGGGGAAATTGGGGGGGGGGGTGGGGAAAAAAAATTTTAATTTTTGAGGAACAAGGGAAAAGGGATTTTTTAATAAAAAAAAAAAAAGGGGTTGGGGGGGGTTTTAAAAAAACCAATTTGGAAGAGGTTTGGGGTTTTGGGGAAAAGTTATTTTTTTTATTTGGGTAAAATTAAAATTTTTTTTTGGGGGGGGGGGGGTAATTTGGGGGGGGAGCCCCAAAATTGGGGGGGGGCCCAAAAATAAAAGGGAAAAAGAAAAAAAGGGGGGGGGGGGGTTTGGGGTTGGGGGTTTTTTCCCGGAAGCCGGCGTCGGAAATTGAACAACAAAAAATATGTATATAAAGCATAAATGTACAATTAAATATATAAAAAAAAAAAAAATAAAAAAATTTTTTTTTGGAAAGGGAAAAAAAAAAAAAAAAAAAAAAAAAGAAAAATTTTTTTTTTTTAAAAAAAAAATTGGTTAGGGTTTTTTAAAGGGGAAAAGTTTTTTATAAAAAATATTAAAATCCTTATTTAATTTTTTATACGCCTAATATAATTTTTTTTTTTTTTTTTTTTTTTTTTTTTTTTTTAAAAAAAAATAATTTTTTTTTTTCAAAAGTAAAAAAAAAAAAAAAAAATTGGTATTTAAATTTTTTTTTTTTTTTTTTTTTTTTAAAAGTTAAAGCACTTTAAATATTTTGCTAGGCCTGTTCCAGTTGAACTGCGAGACACTGTACGTATGTTCCATGCACTAATTAATGAAATATATGGAATATCTCATCTAATCTAAACCCAAATTTAAAAGTCAGAATTGCAGTGCGCAAATATTGGCATTGTAAAGAGTCATGTAATAAAATGTTAGGGCTTGGTTGTTTTTAGCATACTACTAAAGTTTCTCGCATGGCTAAGCGATAAAAGATAACCAACACACAGCGAAGCACATTAACCCATAGCACACACACACACACGTTCAGCTGCTTGTGCTAACGAGTTGGACGCGATAAGCAGTCGTATTAATTTGACGATAAAAAAATAGAACAAAACAAAACAGCTGAGAGATCGGCATTTATTTACCAGCAAGCGGTGATTCTGCCACAATTGTGACTAAATGGACAGAAGGAGGGTTAAGTGCTTAATGTGAATGTGCTTTGTCCAAACGTGAAAACAGTACAGCCTGATTAATACCCTGTACGCAGTTCTTAAATAACAAAATGAACAAAATAAGTACGTTTATTTTTATTTTTTGTGCTATTTATGGAAATTTGCTACGATCTACATATAATTGAAAAAGTGACTCAATTTCGTGTTAACCATTAACAAAATATGTATGAAATTGGAATTAAAAAAGCACATCACTGATTTTTCAAAAGTGTTCACATATAAACCTTTTTTTAAACTAGAATAAATACATCATGTGAATAGTGTAGTGTCACTAGCACTTTAAATTTCGACATGTTTTCTATTATTCCCTTGCCTGGCAGAATGGCAACCTCTTAAAAATGACAATAGGTGAATTAGTTATAGGGATAGGTAAAGTGTTGATTTATGTATTTAGTGTATAACTAAATTGACCAACTACTGTTTCAGCAGATAAGCCCGGGCCTAACAAGATACATACATCCCATATCTCATATTTCATCAACAACAACGACTTATTATCATGGACACAAGAAATTCTCTTCATTGTTCGTAGCATGTGCCAGAATCAGTAAAGATAGGGAAATACACAAACTTCAAGTGCGTCCACAAGTATATCATGGAGGCGTGGCGCAAGATTCGCGCACGCATGGCAACCAGAGGGCTGCCCGCCGAGCTTGATGATGATCTGGAAACGGTGGAGGAATATACACAACGCTGGCGCTCCGTGCGGATCATTTACTTTACTATGTTCCTAATGGCGCTGGGCTTTAGCATCATATTAACTGGAATTTGGCCATTCCTCAACGAGGTGCGCGACCTTTATAAGTTCATATGTGTCACATATATTCATTTATTTAACGCAAGGCATTTTGTAGCTAGATCCCAGTGCGGGCAAAGAGTTTATGGGTCTGATTGTGGCAGCCAATCCATTGGGCCAAATGATCTTCAGTCCCATCTTTGGTTGGTGGGGCAACAAATTGGGCAAAATTCGCATACCACTGCTCCTCTCGCTGGCCCTATTCACACTGGCCAGCGGGGTATATTCCTCCTTGGAGCTCGTGGATAATGTTAAGTACTGGATGCTGGCCTCGCGTTTCCTTATCGGTGTCAGCTCGGCAAACATTGCCCTGTGCCGTTCCTATTTGTCGGCAGCGACGCGTCTCAGCGAACGCACCCACGCCGTCTCCATGGTCTCACTAGCCCAGGTGCTGGGCTTCATCATTGGTCCTGGTCTGCAAGCACTGGTGACGCCTCTGGGCCGCGGTGGTTTAGCGTTGTTTGGCGACAACATGCACATTAACATGTATACCGCCTCCGGATGGATCAATGTGTTGATGAGCATGTCCAACTTTGTGATGTTTTTGCCGGGCATATTCGAGGTAACTTAAGATTCAGAGTCCATCACCTTTGTTCTCACTTTAACAAGTCTCATTACAGGAACATAAAATTGCGGCTCGAGAGATTATGGTGATGCAGGGCGGCACCTCGGAGCGCGACACGTGGAAGGCCATAAAACCAAATTATTATTCCGCCTGGACGCTGATTGTGGCATTCTTTGTGCTCGTCTTTAACTTTGTGCTGTTGGAGACGTAAGTTCTCAAAACACTCGAATCTCAAATTTGCCCACAAGCGGCATCTATTATCTCCTTGCAGCTTGGGCACGTCACTCACCATGGATATGTTTGCCTGGACAAATAATGAGGCCCTCTACTACATGGGAATGTTTATGGCAATTGCAGCCATCATTTCGTTGGTCACCTTTGTGCTTATTGGACCGCTGTGCAGAATGTTTGCGGAGCGTTATGTGCTCATCTGGGGTGGCTTCTCGCTGATGGTCGTGGGTCGTCTACTATATATACCCTGGGGACCAGATCCGCCTAAGCTGGCCGTAGCTTATAATGCCAGCGCCAATTTAACCAACCAGGATCCCATCTATTTGGGTTGTCCGCCATCGCAGGACTGGTGCCCCGATTTGCCAGCCCTGACATTAACTCAGTTCATTATTGGATTTGCACTAACATCGGTGGGTTATCCCATCGGCGTTACGCTAATACAGACGATATTCTCCAAGGTGCTTGGCCCGAGACCACAAGGCGTCTGGATGGGCATGCTGACCGGCGCGGGCTGCTTGTCCCGTGTCATGGGTCCCGTTTTCGTTGGCTTGATCTACACACGGCTAGGCACCTATTGGACATTCGGTTTTACATCGATTATGATGTTAATTTCTATGATTTGGTTGCTCTGCAGCAAGTAAGTAGCTCTCAGTTATTGTTCAACTCTCAACGTTAATCGTTAAATCATCTCCATTGTAATCCTTTCAGCCGTGTACTTATACCACCAAACTTCGAGAAGCCATCGGTGGAGATGAAGGAGCTGAATAAGAGCAATGGCAATGAGCCAATTGCGTCCAAGATCGAAGAAGTGGACAAACTTCTAACGGCGTCGAAGGCGATACAAATACAACCCACACAATCCCAGGCATAGTGTCTTCGTGTGTTCCAGCAATAGCTGAATGACTGCCCCCCGTACGCTACACATTCTATATGAATTTTTAGATAGTAATTTAACAATTACAGTTACATACAAATATGTATATTTTTGATACAGACTTTTATCAATCAAACAGTTATTGATTTCTCCACAAAAGCACAAACAAATATTGATGCTTATTAAATTTTATTGGAATATAAACGCTCAAATCCAATAAAAATGTCTATTACATTTTCTTCGTTTAAAAATTAACTTCTTTGATGAAATAGTGATATGCAACGAACGATAATATGCGACGCAATCTTTGTCACAATGCCACACACTCGTTACATTGTTACAATCACTATCAGTCAGAAATACTAGATTATTTATGAATAGTATGATAGGGATGCCTAGAATGGACTCTATGATTATGTTTTTTTTTTTTGTTGATCTCCTTTTTACTGTCTACCAAAGCGGTGGCAGCCACATACGTAAAAACGGCAACTGCTGCAGTTGCTGATGTTGAGGATGGTGCGCTGGCGGCCAATAAAGAAGCCAACATGGTTGACCGCGGGAAGCGTTATAGTTGTAAATGGGTAGAAACTGTGGTGCAGTTGCCGCAAATGCACCACCCAAAGCAGCCGCTGTCACTCAGCTGCTGCCGTTATAATAAAACTCATCTCAGTAGGGCGCATAACGACGTCCTGGAGGCGATGGGCCGCGCATGCCGCGCGACGAAATCATGCGCTCATCGAAAGAGTCACGACTGAAGTCCTCATAGCCATGCGGTGTCGGTGAGCTAAGCCATACAGATAAGTATCAGAATTACAAGTTCATTGTCAAAGATAAGCAATAAACAATTACCCGTAACGACTCATGCCATTGCTGCTGCGTGGCGGCGGTGGTGAACGCCGACTGAACATGGTATCATAGCCACGTGAAACGCTGCAGGAGCGCAGACTGCCGCTCAGCTGTGGGGGCAACGGCATCGGCTCACGACGCGAAATTGGCGGCGGTGGGAAATCACGCATTCGTGATGATTGATAGCGACGCTCGTACAGATCGCGTGAATCCTCGAAACGTCGATCATAGTAATCGTAATCCTATAGTTGTACAAAGAAAGGCAGTTCGCATATTAATAGGTAACAGATTATCGCACCTTCAATGGTTTCAGTTTAGATACGTTTTTAGGGTATTTGCGGCGAGTCGTTTTGAAGCTTAACTGTTTAAAGATCTGAAGAATAAGAATAAGTTTCCGGATTACATGAATTGCGCTTAAGCGTTTAAAATTAAGAACTGTGCTTTGGAATCGCCAAAAGAACTCAATAAGTATTTAAGTCTAATTTGGATTTTTAAAACTTTCGAAAAATGTGAATATTTAATGTTGGTAAAATTGATCTTTGATTTGTAATCTTCAAGCAGTTAACTCTCTTAAGCGACCTGTCGAGATTAGCAAAATTGTGTGTTTGTTGTTCGCATTTACCCTAAAGCCGTCCATAATGCGATCACGCAGGAATGGCGGCGGTGGTGGCGGATACGGATCACGACTGTACATGCGATCTCTGTAGCCACCGGCGCTTAGAGGTGGTGGTGGCTCGCGTCCACCGGTGCCTGTCCAGCGCGGACATTCTTTCGACCAATGACCGGAACGGCCGCAACGATAACACTGCTCCGGATCGCCCATGCCCGGCTTGGGGCGCACACGACTGGTGGAGACCTGCACCTTGAGCGGCTGGCCATCGACAACGCGACCGTTCAATTCCTTGATAGCATCCTGCACATCACCGACACAATCCAAATGGACGAAACCATAGTTTCGCACAATGTCGCACTCGACGACGGTGCCGTATTTCTGAAACAGTTCGCGCACCTCCGGCGCTCGCGTTTTGTCGGTTAAATTCCCAACGAAGATTTTTGTTGTCGGCGTATTTGGGGCGCGTCGGCTTTTGGCGGCCTCCACCTTGATGGCATTATCGTTCAAAACGTAACCGTTCAAGTTCTGTATGGCATCGCGACCCTGTTGTTCGGTTTCCATATGAACGAACCCATAGTTCTTCACCACATCGCATTCGACGACAGTACCGTATTTTTCGAATAGCGCACGCAATTCGGTTGCCTGCGTCTTCTCATCGAGATTACCGATGAACAACTTGAACGTGCCGGCTCCGGGCATCACGGCGGCGGGTTCGGCTACGGCGTCGTCCACGGTTCTTGCGTTATATGAATATCTTCGGGAAGCTTGTCTGCGTTACGTACGTACGCGAGCGATTCTCGTGTCCGTGTTTTGGTTTGTTTTGCTTTTGTATTTTAACGCGTTATTTGACTCAGCGGCAGCTTCGAGGAGCGACGGAGACAGCGACGACGACGGCGACCGCGACCTCAAAGTGGAAGAAGAAGAAGCATGGCAATTTTTCATTTTGATTTTGAGTAGTTCAGCAGAGCAATTAAGTCGAAGCAAATTATATCAAACAAAAAAAAACCAAGAACAAATGTGTGAACGCGATCCATTTAAACTCTAGTAGTATCTATACACATGCACAAGCGCGTGAAAAATTATTTCCATTTCCACACAATATATACAAAGACAAGATGGCGGCGACAGCGACGGCGACTAGGCGAAACCGTAGTTTAGTTGCGGCAGGACGGCGACTTCAATTGTAAATATCTTCAAAAATTTAATAACTTCTTACCTGTGAACTGCTTGTGCGACACAAAAATAAGGCTTAAATTGTAGTTTTTGTTCTTTTCCCCATTAACTCAAGCAAACTGCTACGTTCTCAACTGCTCAGCAGAAAAACGATTTTTGTGTGTATATGCCAGAGCTGTTATCGATTTCACTGCAGTTGTCGATAGAAGTAAGAGCCTCAACTAATTGCTAAGAGTGGCATAAAACTTGAATTGAAGTTACTTTTCCAAAGTATCATAAAACATATTTGGAATAAAAACAGCTACGCTTTTTACTTACACATTTGTATAATATTACTAAAATGTTTTGGTGGAACTCCCCTAAAAAGTGATGGAAATAATTTACGATATAAATTTTATCATTTATCGATATGTTTAATTTCAGGGACTCATCATTCGTGTCTTTGACAGCACTGGCATTCTGAATTAGCGCTCTTATTAAAAAAGCGGGAAATATAATTGTTAATTGTTATTAAACTAAGAGTTATGGAAACCCCAACGGGACATGCAGCACGATCCACTCGCATCGCCACGCCTCGTCTTTCGGAGCGCAAGAAACAATTGTTTCGTAGTCGCAGCTGTATACTAGATCAGGTAGATGACGATGCTGATGTTGAGGATCCACTGCTGGGCTTAACTCCTCTGAAACCTAGACACCAACATAAATATACCAGAGACGCTGAGATGCCAACTAATGTGCGGAATCTGTTTGATAAAGGTGCCAAGAGAGAGGGACATGGAATGCGTATGCTGCGCAGTAGCACCAGCAGTTCACCCGAGACAAATAAGGAAAACAAGATCGCATCCACGACACGTGGCTCTGGTGTATCCGTGGGTTCGGATGAGCAATTGCCTCATTTGTTTAACACCACAATGCGCATCAACAGCACAAGTAGCACCTCCACAAGCCATAATTCTAGTCCACGGACGCCTAAAACACGAAAATCCAACGTAGACTCGGACACTGATAAATCTCCCACTCCTTGTCAAGCAACTAAGCGTTCCCACAAGTTAACGGATATCAGAACAGTTGAGTCCTCACCGGAGTCACCTCAGTGCAAGCAGCGCAAGATGCAAAGTGAATGTATTCCAACAGTGGCGTTTTATTCGCACGCTGCCACCTCTCGCGCTGCTCAGCGCCAATCAGCCGCATCACAATCCCAATCAGCACGCAAAAGCCAGCAGCAACGTGCCGCTAGATCAAGGGTTATTTCGCCCACATCTCGTCCAAGGCTGGGCATTAATAGGGGCGTGGCTCACAAGATTCGCAAGCCACAACGTCCCTACGGTGGAGTTACAAATTTTGACGACATTTTGAGCTCATTGCGCAATGAGAAGCTTCGCCTGTTGATTACTAACAAGCGGGAAGAACGTGCCAAGGTGGAGGAGGTGCACGAAACGATGCGCCGCGCCAAGGATCCCATTAAAATGGCCAAGCCCCTAAGCACTATGGCCTTAGACGACGACAACAACAACGATAATAATAATAATAATAACAGCAAGGAAGCCTTATCACTTTCAGCCTCGTCGACAACAAACGACTTTTCCGATCTCAGCGATGACGAGTTGTGTGAAACGAATTCGATTTCTACGGCCATGGAGCTGGAACCGGTTATTCCATTAATCCGTCATGAAGCAGATACTTCTCCAAAGGCGGACGCCGAGGACTTGAGCAAGCGCAAATTTTTTAAGTCCGGACGGCGCAGTAGCACCTGCATGGAGGTACGGATAACGGGGAATATACGTGCCACTGTCAGCCAGGGCAAGATTTCATTGGTGGAGGCCCCGGTGAAGAGGCAGCGACAAGTGCGCGTCAAATCGGCAACGATATTCTCAGCGGAGCAGGCCACCGTGGATGCGATAATACGTAATATGGATGATACCGTTGTAGATGAGATTGTTGAATCAGCACCATCAGTTGAATCAGCGCCACAATCGACGCCAATGCCCAGTGTGAAAATGGAGCAGGTGACGTTGCCGCCAGATCCTTATGCAAAGTATCGTCAGCAATTACCCTATCAGACGAACGATCCCGCAATTATCGAACAGCAAACGTTGCTGCTCGAGTTTTTAATCACTAACAACATTTGCACAGATGACAACTTTGAAATATTCATAGCTGATCCAGAAAATCATCAGGAGGAGGCCGCGCGCATTGTCGATCATCTCTATAAGGTGGTCAATGCGGAGCAGCAAGAGCTGCAAGTACCTGAGTGCGACAATGTAATAGTTAATAAGGAGACGCCTTCCGAAAAGCCGCCTGCGGCTACTGAGCCTACACCGGCCACTGAGTCACCTTCGGCCACTGAGCTAGCTCCAGCAACTGAGCCAACATCGGCCACTGAACAACCTCCGGCCACTGACCAAACGGCGGTCACATTGTTTCCCATATTCACACAGCGTCTGCAACCGTTGCAACAAAAGGCAACTCGTCGCAAATTGGATGCCAGAGCACGTTTGATGGCTGTTGCCAGTGGTGCCAATCAGTTCCAAATCGATGCCGGGCAAAAGGCCTTTGGTGCCCGCCAGTGTCAGCAGTGTGGATTAGTATATACCGTCCACGAGCCCGAGGAGGAGCAATTGCATCGTGAATATCACGATTCTGTGAATGTGTTACGTTTCAAGGGCTGGATAGATGAGGACATTGTGGCCGTCTATCCGGACTGGGCGGCCGATGGACGCATTGTGAGGCTAAATGAACTAGCGCCAGCTGCCCGCTTGCAGCGTCTCAGAGATCTTATTGGTGTGGTTGATAAGGAACTGGGCTACTCCTCGTATATTGTGCCAAAGACATTTGTTGCCTACTTTGCCGTGCGCAAGCAGCAAATCGTTGGTGTGTGCCTTGTCCAGCCACTGGAGCGGGCTCATCGCTTTATTCAAGTCGATGGCACCGACTACTTTAGTGAGGAGACTTTTGAGGCCAGGTAAGTGCTGCATAGATGTCTTCCGTATCGGTTAAAAACTTTAATGTTGTTCGTTCTTTTAGTTGTGGACTGTCGCGCATTTGGGTCTCACCATTTCAACGTCGGAAGGGGATCGCCAGTAAATTGCTCCGCGCTGTGCAATCTCACACGGTGTTGGGCATTGAAATATCCCGTGATCGCATTGCATTTAGTACGCCGACAGATGATGGACGTGCTTTCGCGCGTCATTTTACGCAGAATGACAATTTTCTGACTTACGACCAGTAAAAATTGCTCCATTTTGGCTATTGAATAGTTTGAAAATGGGTCTCGTTGGTTATTGTTTGCTACCAGACATATCGTAAGTACCAATATATCGTCTTGCCTGCAATTCCGTTTCCTCTACACTGACGAAATCCTCGCACTTCCTGCGTCCCACCGGGAGGCGTTCGTCAGCTCGATCCCAACCTGAGCCGATGGCTAGCCGGCAGGGTGATTTTGGTGCTTACGATAGACAAGGTGTAACAAGATTTCTTTATTTATACTGTTTCAAATCAAATAAAACATGATTTTTAATTACAAGAGTACATTTACATTTTCCTTGCAAATATAAAAATTATGTTCAACATAGAGTAAAAGCACTAAGCAAATTGATCTTGAGCTTAATTATAGGTTCGATTCTGACAAAGTTATAGAATTTCGAAGTTTCTGAATGCCATTTATAATTGCTAAAATAAAAACTTGGTTCAAATGCGCACCCAAAGTGTAAATAACACGATAAATACTTATCGATAGTTAAACTCAAGCATCGATGGCTGACAGCAGTGTATCTTGAGAATCGATAATTTAGCTAAATTGTGAGCCAGGCTTGGGCGTTGTTTTTATTGCAGCTATCAGAAAACAATTGAACTGTTAATTATAAACACATATACATCGCTTAAAGGTGAATTAAAGTGTGTCCAATTCCTTTTGCAGTTGACTTTTATTAAGCGCAAATGGTAAGTGGAAGAAATTAAAGAAAACAAGAGAAAAGGCAACGCGGCACTCGATGCCACGCCCAATATGACGGATTAAAAGTAAACGGAATTGAACCGAATTTATTGGGGTTGAATATAACGTGGTGTAGTCAACGTTTCTTATTGTCTTATTGTTTCCTTCCATTTGCAGACAATTCGGTTTTGTGGAAGGAATATATTGTGGCTAATAGAGAAAAAGGGCCAGCGACTGCATTAGTCATTGGCAGCTTTGAAAACACACTCAAAAGTAAATAAAGCACAGACCCTGTCCAGACTATGTCCACAATCGAAGAGGAGCGTACAGCGTACATAAATAATCCATATTTTACTGGTCCCATCTACGGCAGCTATAAGCCGTTTTATGTGACCATTGCCATTTGCACTGTTGTCCTCGGCTCGATAATCATATTAAATATTATTTTGGGCTGCTGCTCCAAGCATCGCAAGTACTGGCAAGACAGGCATACAGGCAATCGTTGGCTAGTTTCCATTTGGTCTTCGACGCCACACAAGCAACCACCGCTAGACTTTACTGAGCTCAAAGACGCATCCTATTTCGATCGTTTACATGTAAGATGTGAAATACATTGCTGTGCCTCAAGAGAATGTTACATTTTCCCCATTTGCAGCCCACGACACACCAGCAAGTGTTCTCCGACGACGTCGTCGTATCCGTTGACGATTTAGAGCCTGTACATCAGCCGCATCATCAGCGTCCACCACGTCCACAGGGTCGTACATTACATCAACAGCGCCAGCGCGAAGAATACGTTGAGCTACAGAAGCGCGAGAGCGACATCTAAGCAGAAATGGCTTTATACTTTCTATATCCCGCCGTTGCTGCCGTGGCCCTCTTCGTTGTAGGCGTCATTATTGTCATGCTACGTTGGGGTCCGCGCCTCTGCGGGCTGCGTCATCATGCTCTGCCCGATAATTATGATATGCGGGAGAAGACCTATGAGCATGAAATTAGTTATGCCTGATACATATCGCCATTTCAAATACATTATTCGCGAGAAGCTTTTTAAACACATCCACAACAACTAACCATACTTATCATAAGATTCGTTTTTTACTACTACTAACTTTTCACTGGCACCAAACAAAAATGTAATTGTGTCTGCTAAAGTACACAATTTATTTAAATACGCAGTACAAAGTGCCTACTACATTTAATTAAAATTAATTTCAAACAGCCTTTCAATCATTCATAACAAACAAAGAAAAGAAATTCGTGCCTTCTACATTGAAAAATCTCATTAAGAAATGTTTGCCGTCCAAGTGTCTTCTAGTATTGTAAGATTGCTCCTTAATAAGTATGTACCCTTTTGGTAACCGATGTAATCAGTATATAATCAATTATATTCCAAACTGAATCGATTCAGATTTAAAACATGTCAATTTTGTATGCACAATTTAAACGAACATATTTTAAAACTATGCAAACCTATACATTTGTATTTATACCCTTATACCATTTTGACAAATAAATAAAGTGTACTTTTCAATAAATAATGTGCATCTGAACTCCATAGTTACAGGTGCTCAGAACTTTTAATTTTAAACATAAAACAAAAATGGAACCTTTTGATATAATCGGATTAATATTTTGCATTTGCAAACAATTTCATTTTATATTCAGCAATGCAAATGGAAGACAGCAATTCGTACTTCTTTTCAACTGTTAGTAAGTTGGATTCACCTGGTCCAGCGCAAAAATCATATGAAGACATCGATGTAAATTTTATGGTTTTTAATAGTCTATATATGTATTGATTATTATCCATTTGCTTAACAGACGTATCTTTCTCTTCATACACATTGCTTCCATTTTCATAATTCTTGCACATGTCCTCCTTTTTTTTATTCTCATTTGTTTCTAGCGCTCTGTCATTTGGCTTCAAACAATCTTCACTTTGATCTTCGGCAAGTGTACTATCGAGTAATCCGTGCATTTTGCAATAACGATCGATTACACTGAGGCGCAGCTTGTCCGCCACACAAGTAATCAAGTTCTCCATAAACTTTAAAAAGACATCTGAGGTAAGATCATAGACGGCAGCAGTATCAATGTACGATAACGGATTCGATCGAAATTTCTGAAATAGTAGTTTACAATTTTTGACTGGATTTGGCATAATTTATAGCAGTATTTACCTTTTTAATGCTATTAATTAAATCTTCGTTTTCGATTTGGTGACTATATTCAAACAAATCAATTGTCAAATTCACATCCAAGCCAGTGGCCAAGCGCCGTTTGATCACATAAAAACAATTGGTAGTGAGAGATGAAACCATAAACTTTTTGCTCAGATATATTAACGTTTGGAGTGTCCGCAAATCATAGGACTCCAGTCGCTCGTTGTCATTTAAGTATAGATAATCCAAAAATTTTTTAAAATCGTGTCCCAAGACATCATCAAGAACAATATTTTCCGGAATGTTTGCTTCCTCGAAGTCGCCCGCAAACATACGCTCAAAAACAGGCGAAACACTACAGATTTATTTGTATTAGCTATTTAATGTGAATATATATAATAGCAATATACGCACCTCATCAGCACAAATTTGTGACACTTAAGCAGGGTCTTGTTGCCATCGTCGTCATAAACTACGAAACTACAATCCGACAAGTGGCCTGTCTTAAGTAAATGTTCCATGCGCTGTCGGCGTCTAAAATTTTTAAAAATGAAACAAAATTATTACTATAAGGATTATAGGATTATAATATAGGGTATATGCGAACCAATATTAAACAATTTAAGGTCTAGATATTAGAGTATTCGAGATCGAAACTGTTAAGATCTGAGCGATGGTGATTCCGCTGCTAATGCTAAAACAAATTATATCCTGAGCAGCAAGATATTTTCATAATAAACTTGGATAATTAATTTTATTTACTTAGAAATCGCTCACCCAAGATCCTGCCAGATAGCGTCCGAGCCCTGCATTCTGTAATTATTGAGTTAAACAACAAACGGCTTGCGCAGACGAAAGTAGCGGCATCAATGCGAAAGGATGCAAACAGTGCTGCAAAGCGTTCAAGCACACGGTTGCGAATATCCAAGCAAAAACGGTCACTTTGTCACATCAGCTGTTTTCTGTGTCTGTTGCCGTTGTTGAATTCAATACTAAATTAGGCACCCACCTGCTATATTATCAGAATGACTTTACTATATTACATTTGGATCGGTATAGGCCTACTGCCGTTCACCCAAGCAGCAATAAGCGAGTGCCCCACACGCAGCGTGCCACAGGTTCGAGCCGAAGTGGGGTCATCAGGTGAGATGTCTCTCATGTTTTACTACGTGTCGTGGTCGAGCGATGCCAGACAGGCCCGTTTGGTGTACGATGGAGTGGCGCATTACTACAAGGATTACGCCTCCTTCGGTGCCATCGATTGCTGGCACATGCAGTGCAACTGCAGTCGCACACATCGACAGCTCCCCGGCATGGCAGCTAATGGCGGATATCCGGATAAATGGCCCACGTTGATGGTAAATTATGGACGACATGTGAGGCTGCAGTATCAGGGCGCCTGGCATTTCGAGGATCTGACGAGATTTCTGAACAACCTGATACAACCCATCGATCGTGTTCACAGCACAGTTGAGCTGGGCGCTCTTTGGAAGATCTCTGATGCCGTTGTCTTGGCCCTGCTGGACTCGGCAGATAGCCTGGCCTACAGGCGTTTTGTGGCGACCGCTTTGCATTGGCTGGAATATGATCCGGAGCGTAATGTACGCTATGCGGTTACATTTGGAAAAAGCGCAAAGCAAATGCTTAAAGTAAAGCAATTAACGCTGCCACAACTGGTGGTCATCGATAATCGTCACGGCCTGCATAGTTACAACATAACAAATGCAAATGGGTGGCAGCCCATGGAGATACTGCATTGGGTGCGCCCCAAAGTTAATCCGCTTCAGGCAGCTGGTTATGGCACGCCAGTGAAGATTGCAATCAAAGCACGTCACATGCCCGTGCTGGCGCTGGGCATACGGCTGCATCAGCAGTCGCTAGTCGTGGGCGATGAGCTGGCACGCAAGGAGAACGTAGACTGTGAGCAGTATTGGCTGCGGGAGCTGCAGGAGTCGAGTAAGTTGCGTAAATGGTCGCTATTGCAAATGCCTAGAGAACTTTATGGAGGTGAGCAGCTAGGCAAGCATAGCTATCGAGGATTACAACTCAATGCAACCACGCTGGCCAACTACTACAACATAAATGCCTATCTAAATTATCTATGGTCCCAGCACACCCACGTCAACCACTTGGAGACGGAGGCACGACAGCTGCTGGCGCTGCACACACGCAATCGCTGCTTAGCGCACACGCACGCTCAGCAAGGAACACCTGCCTTAAAGATTGGCATCGCTAAGCTGGTCAGCAAATATGGTCAGTTGTTGTGGCAGCATTCGACAGAGCATTTGTCGCAGAATCGATCCCTCGCCGTGGTGCTCTTCGATGCGACGAAATATCGTGACTTTCTGCAGCAGCTGGGCATCGATCAACAATACCAACAGCAACGCAAAAGAGATACGTCTGCTGTGCAGGTTTTTATTGTGGACGCCGCCGCAGAATCGTTGCATGTCATGCCGCAGCATCAGCCGTTTTCCTATCTAGCACTCAAGGAGTTCATTAAGCAGTTCTATGCCAGGCAGCTGCCACGACTGCAGAGGAACTCTGTTTTGGTCCCTGTCGTTCCCAGCCGGCAGACATCGTACGTACATACATACAATCGCCAGTTGCTGTTGGAGGCACTGCAGCGACCTAATGCGACTAATGTGGTGCTAATCCATCGACCGGATTGCGCCTTGTCTGCCGTCATGTCACTGGAGCTGATGCAGGTGGCAGCTCTGTTGCGCAGTCCCGAACTGAATTTTATACGGTTCGATAGCCAAGCAAATGATTTGCCGTGGGAGCTTACCATGCCGGAGACGCCAGCATTGTTTGTGTTTCCCCAATCTCGACCCATCGAATCTGCGCTGTTTCCAATTGATGCACGCGCGGATACGGCAAACATAATGTCCTTTATTCTTGCACAGTTGGAACCGGAGCAGCAGTTACGCTTAGTGCTGGCCAGCTGTCGGCGGCGTATGCGGCATGCGCGCAGTTGTCTGGACTTTGCTGGAAAATTGGTGTTGCAACACGTTAGTCAATACTTAAAATACTGGGAGATATTTGTGAAGGAACGCGATCTAATCTTGTCCCATCTCAGGCAGTTCAATGAAATGCACATTGCCATCGAGAGTAGTATAAAGTTATGATTTTTAAAGATCTGTGCTCACTGTGCTAGAATCTTACTAAAAACATGACCGTAAAACTATTTAGCATATAAGTATTGGGTAAGATGTAAGCAAGATGGATTTATTTTATCTGATATTTTTAAGGCAAAACTAGTTTTACTAAATGTTATTAGCCAATAAGTCAATTAGTAAATATTTAAAAGAATCCTCAAACTCTGTTAATTGAAAGCAATATATAATTATTTATAATGATAAATTAATTGGACAACCGAATTGGTTTTTTAAAAATATAAATCAGTAATTAGTGTGACCAGATTCAGTTGGAAAAATGAATTAAATTTATCAACACTTATCGATATCGAATTTGTGTTTATTCCAAAAAATAGTGCAAGTGCAGCAAAACAGACACTTAAAATGGCACGAAGTTCGGATAAACTTAATATAATAGATCAGAATACATTTAAAAATTTAAAAAAGGGAAATGAGAACACAACGCCAAAGATTCTACATAGTGCCAAATACAAGAATAAGCATAAAAACAAGCAACAATGTTCACTCCTCGACTTTCTAATTGTGCCCCGCGAACAACACAAAAAGGTAAACAAACTGAAACGCCCACACACAATCATTGCGAGAAACTGCGTCACTCTGCAAACCAAGCGCAAGGGAAAAACGCGTCTGCATCCCAAAAATCGTGTGGCTCGCCTTAAGCGCATCATAAAAAACTATCGCATTTGGAAGCAGAGTACTGATGAGGATCCACAATGGGTGGAGGCACTCCAGAAGGCATTCAGTTCAATGTCCGTTGGCCTTAACTCGATTAGTGAAACAAGTGTGGAAAATAATGTTTCAGTTGCAGTTCAGAGCTCTCCCTTGCTTAATGTGGAGCCAAACACATTGGAACTAATCACCGACTTAAAGAACCTGTCGATAAATGAAACAGAGTTGAAGACGAAGTCAAAGCCGCAAGCCCATAAAATACATTCCCGACGGTTTCGAAGGTGAGCGTCTACAGCTGTTGTTTTTCTTTAAATGCATTCAATATGTATTTATAAACTTATTTATTTAGCTATTGTGACAACTGCACGACGGCAAAACTCAAAGAGCTGTCGGGTCTGCTGCTCAATGACCTGGAACGTTTCCAGAAGCGTGCCTATGCCAACAACGAAATCAAAGCGCGTGCACATCTTCGACTGGTTGTGGGATTTCGAGAATCATTGTCCAGGCTGCGGATACACAAAGTAAAATTGCTGCTGCTAGCACCAGACTGTGAGCAGTGTCCAGGTCCAGGTATGAAATATAATACTGACAAATCTTGTGAGTTTTTAACCATTCAACCTTGAAGGTGGCCTTGATGAGACGATAGATGAATTAAAAACCGTTTGCCAGGAGCAAAATGTGCCCTACTGCTTCTCGCTGATGCGTCGTGAATTGTCCTATTCACTACATAAGCGCGCACAGATTTCCTGTGTAGCCATTTTGGACTACGATGGCAGCAATGAAACTTTCAAGCAACTCCTGAAGGAGCTGGATGAGGCGCGCATTCAATACAAGTCTTTGACTGCAACGTGATCTTTATTGAATGTGTGCTCGATTCAAATATTTAAGCATCAAAGGTGCGCAAAAGTGCTCGTAATTGTTCTCCAAATGTAAATTAGTTCTAAGAATAATATAAAGATATAAGTTTTAGTAATTCGATGGCGTCATCATTGTGGTGGTCTCCAGATTATACAGTGTGGAGCTGGTATTGAAAAATTCGGTGGCAGAACCCACCAAGCCAGCGGTCTCATTAAAGCTGTTAAACGACTGTAAGGCTTCCTTAGCCTGCTGGGCCGCCAAATTAAATTGTATGAGGATAATAAGGTAGCTTGTGATGCCACCACTAACGCCATACAATGTTTCCATGTCCAGTGTGAAGAAGCCGCAGGCCGAGAAGTCCACCGAATGATTTAGCAGCTTTAGCGACAAGTGGTTCACAATCTCGTATATCAAATTATCATCAGCCACCACGCCGCACTTGTGCAAACTAATCCCAGTGCGTTTCGAGGCCAGCGATGTTTTCCAGCTCAAGTAAATCAAATAAATGCACTTGCCCGAAGTGTATACAAGAATGATAACCGTAATAAGCGGATCCTTAGCGGACCGGAACAATGGAGGTATCGATTGGGAACGAGTAGCGCAATATAGAAAATACAGCTGTGCCGTAAATATTAAGAATCCATAGGCCATAAGCGAAAGAATCGGATAACTCCAGAGGCCGTTCATTGCCTTGCCTATTTCGCAGATCTCGTCGTGCACTTGACACAGATTGTTCAGTTTCTCCTCCACCTTGGTCGCATTGCTCAATTCACTCTCGTGTGCCATGTTCATCATTTGATTTGGATTAATTTGATGCGGCTTGCGAGGAATGCGCTCGCCAAAGGAGTTCAGCGAATGGGCAACTAATATTCAATTAATATCAGCAAGAGAACTAGTAAATATTCGACGCATTACTTACTTGGTGCCACCCTATTCCTGCTTTTGCTGCCCGAGCCTCTCAGCGATCCAATATCAATGCCGCCCAGTTCCTTGTACAAGTACTCCAGATTTGCGTCATACTGCGGCGGCTGCGATTCGGAACTATCTGCAGTTTGATTCCCAGCTGTATCATTGCCATCGTCATCTCTAGCCAAAAAAGCTTTGTGTTTTTCGTGTTCGGTAACCAGATCCTCTAGCGAGGAATTTATCGCTTCGAAACGTTCCTTCAGTGCGTATAGCGATACTGCAAACCAAATCTTGTCCAGAGTATTGACAAAAGTCGGCACTACCGAGACTATCCAGAGCAGCGATAACCATTGCGTATAATCCACCAGCTTTATGTATGTGGACACCAGTATGAAAAGCTCAAAAATGACGGTCATAATGATCATTACACGAATGCGTTTTGCTATGTAGCTATTATCAACCAGACACTGCTCCCTATAGAGGCGTTCATCCACTACGCGTAGGCGTTCGTAGAGGTCACCCAATTGTCCTTGATTGAAAAGCGCAGTTATCTGATCGGTGGCCATCATAATAAGACCAATATGGGTCAAAAACAAGCCAATAACAAACGTCAAAGTGCCTAAAATGTAGAAAATGCATAGTGACGAAGTGACTCGGAAAAGACAATTTTCCGAAATAGGAATTAACATTTTGAATGACAGATAGATACATTATCTATTCTCCATTTCACTCACTCTGCGATGCCTTTACGGCGGGATCATCTTCACCAAACGCTATTATTAACCATATGTAAAGCACCACATAAATTATCAAAAGACCAATCATATAGAACATTCCATTGCGCGACTTTTCGAGAACATTCTTAGTTCGAAACTGTGTCAAATCCTGGGGCAGGACACCCACAAATTTTGATAAGGCAAACAGCTGCTGGAATTGGAGCAGCAACGGCTTAACCGACGGCATCGACTGGGACATGTTTCGCTTTGGACGAGACAAACTCAAATGGTTAAAAATGAATAGAGCATTATGAGTTTCTCGTTACCACTTTGCTTAATTAAATTGGTTTGTTAGTTGATATAATCGTTCCGCTAATCGATATAATCAACACATGCAATCTGAAGGTGTTTGTAGTACTTTTCCACAATGCCCGAGAGTTTATGTGATGGGTGAATTTCGTTTATTGAATGATCTTCTATTCTGTTTATATACTCTACACAATAAATAATTTAATATAGACCCGAAATAAATATTACAACATGAATCCTTACGTATTACAAATATATATTCATTTGAATATACCTTTTGCGGAACATTGATAGATTATGTATATGATATACAATAGAATACGAAAGGTAATTTATATATATTGTTGGATGTGATGAGAATTTTATTAAACGTCTTTTGAAGTTTTTGGGATTTGTGTGTATCAAATATTTTTTGAGATATATAATATAGAGCCAAAAAAATTAACACGGCTCGTTGTTTTTGAAATTTGAAATAGGTTCCAACATTATTAATTAATTTGTAGTGTGTGACAAGAGCAAGTTCCTTATTACTTCCTCTTGCGACGATCGGCCTGTTTTTGTTCCTCCTGAAAGTGAGAAAGAGTATTAGCATTATTGAAAACAACTACTTCCAAGGTTATAAATATAATTTCACAAAGAGCGAACTGAATCGTAGATTTCATAAAAATTTTCGCAAGCCTGGGAATAAATATACTTCCACCAACGAATAGGGAAGAGTATGAAAAAAGCTAGTATCAAAAGAGTTATATCTACGGATATTATACAAGAGATTTATATTGTGAGAGTATACTTATTGCCTTGGATCTACGAAAAATGGGGTATACGCATAAAACGTCATACCGTTGAATAGATTAATTTCTTATCTATGAAATTGTTTGCTATATGTGGATAGATCAAGGTTATTCAATGTTTGCTTGATTATTAAACTAATTTGCGAGTTATCAAGCCATAAAACTTTTGAGCTGTAAGATAGGGCACACATTTCAGCACAAACCAGCAAACAACTTGAGCCGCCAGAAGTAATTAAATTAAGATTCAGAAACATACCTTTTGTGTTAAAATAATCAACAACCGACGGAACATGCTCAAAACGTCAAAGAATAGATCCAATGCATGCTGGACCACATCGCGATTGCCCATGCGACATTTCTCCACAATGTTTTGTGTGTCATAGACAATGAAAGCGGCCATGACAAAGACGCCAACATACAATTGAGTCTGTAAGAGAGTTGGATGGGGTTAGATCGAGCATCATTACTACTTATTGATCGATTACATACCATTTGAACGAAGTACGATCTAAAGATCATGTTGAAGAGACTGAGAAGGGCCATGCAGTTAATGACGCTAACCAAAATACCACCCAAGTACAGGTATTTGCCCTGTTCGGCAAGCAAAGCGGCCAATGATAACGAACCAAAAGTCACAAAGGTGCCAGTCAATGCAGTCAGTATAATGGCCGGGTTGATGCTGCAAATGTAGCCCAATAGGGGACCCAGAGTTTGTCCCGAGCAAAAGCCAAAACCATAGAGCATTCCCAAGCGTGTGTAATAGTTCTTTCCATCGTCCTTATAGAAATGTAGACCCAGCACCAGCACGAGTGATGCAATCGCTGCTAACATGCCCAAATCAAGAATTCCTCGCATCTGGACAAGTGATCCCACTGCCGTAGCAGCGGTGGTGCTAGCCAGCACCATGTATACCTTTGCCAGGTGCTGACGCACATACGGCTCACTGAAAAAAATAATACAAGAACGGGTATCAGTTAGAACTGTCTGTGTACGTGTACAAATTGATTTCAAGGATTATTGATTTAGTGCGACCAACTGTTGATGTGGTTTAACACCAAAACAACACGTCAGTCTCACCGTATCGAGGGGCAGGGTTCTTGCAAGGTGTGCACAAGCAGCACTCATTTCTATAGCATACTGCGAACTTTTGGACTGTGAGTCTGCACCTTTATTGACCTCTTAAATATAAATTATAGATATGCATAATAAATATATATATTTATATACATACATATGTATGTTTATGTATATTTATTTATACTTACTAGCGCTGGCTGATTCCATTCCTGAAACGTTGGAAACGGTCGTTTAGATATTGTGCTGTATCTGCCATACTGTATCCTAGTTTTCCACTTTTTTTATTAAATTTATTTTTTATCAAACGGAGGAGTTTTGGATGTGCTCTGAAATTGTCTGAGCTGCTTTATTAGATTGACTGCTTTCCCGACGTTTACTACTACGTTGATATTTTCACTTCTGTATTTCATTTATCTCTATGTATATTGCAATTTAGTGTTGGCTTGCGGCTGAATTAGGCGAAGCTTCCAGATGATAGGGTGACCGTTTTTTGGTGTACAGAAAAATATTTGGTCGCCTTTTTAATTGAAATGCAAGCTAATTTATCGGCGCGCAAAAACTTTTTAAATGTCTAGAAAGGGAGGGAGGCAAATTGCGACCGTTTTGTGAAGGATCATAAATGTTTGAAACGAAATAAGCGTTAGAGCATAAAAGCCATTGTGAAAAATGTAAGCTAATAACGAAACCCTCTTACTAAATAATTGATATGTATTTTTTATTTTGGGTCATTTGGGTCAAAAGTTTTGGTTCTAAATAGTATATTAGGATCAATCGAATACGAACGTGCGTATATTTGTAAACAATAATCGAAAATATAAATTTAAAAAATGACGCTTTGTCTTAAATATGAATGACATAAATACGAATACCTCATCTTATTATTTTTTAAATAAACAAGATGCACACTTATTGACTAGATTGTCATATACTTATGTAAAACATTACCTGTATTGTGCATGATTTACAGTAAAAAGTATGTATGTTCAGTTACTCTCGAAATCACAGTTTAAATTGTACAGGACAGATTTTTGATTGATTGTTTATAAGTAGTAGTAGTAGTAGCCGGCCGTTAAGCTCGTAATACTTCTTGTTAGATCAGACCTAAGAAAGTTACAGGTACTAGATGTCGAAAACTATAATTTACATAAATGTCATTTGGATTAGTGTAGCAATCATTAATTTGAATATCATTTACAAATGTTTTGTGTAGACTGTACAAATAAAAATATAGTTAAAAGAATAAAAATAAAAAGATGTTACATAGCAACTACATAAAAGCTTGATCGCGTTTTTAAAAAATCTACGATAAAAGTTTGTTATGACCTTCATTTAGTTTATAATAATTAGAGATATTAAGTCTAATTATCGCCACAGGCATACAAAAAACTCATTCATACAACTTATTTACATAATTTTAATAAATATTGTCACTCTAGCTCTATACTACTTATCCATTTGATAAGATCAGTCAACATTTAAAACTATGATTCACTCTCAACACACGCGCACAAAAAGCTCGCTTAAATATATATAAATAAAGTCAACTTTAAATAAATGGTTGAAACAAATGGTTTACAAAAAAATAATGTCTTTCAATACAATTGCGCTTATTACGATTCTTGGCCTCATTTGGCAAAAGCTTTGCAAAATTGCAAAAGATGCAAGTGTTAATATAACAATATTATTAAGAATAAATGCGTTGTAGTTGTACAATTTAAATATATATATCAATTCGTAAACTATTTTCTTTTTGTTATTATAAGGTACAAGAAGACACGCAACGCAAGACAGTTTGAGTATTATTTTTTTTTTTTGGAACAATTTTTTTTGTTTTTTTTTTTTTGTTGGTTTTCATATATATATGTTTTTATTAAATAAACCGAAATATTAAAGTACAATAATATTGAAATTCTGCGGTGAAGACGACAATGTAGATTGAAGTTCATTCTGTCTGTTGCTGCTGCTGCTGTCCGTCCACTAGCGTCCTGTCCCGCGCTGACAACTCTTAAGTTGGGATGTGTGCAGGAGATGCAGGATCATGACGATGGTGTTGATTTGTGTGTGGGCGTGGCAGTCCATCTGTTGATTGATTGTGTGTGTGTGTGTCTGTTGTATTGTTGTCGAGACTTGTCAACATTTCGGCTTACTTTAGTACGTCTAGGAGAACTATGTTATGCCATATTTATATCCTACGTATTGGTAATGTTAGAAACAAATCAAAATTTTTTTTAATCTTCTGGCTGGCCTTCAGCTTTCTGCATTGTTATGTGTTAATAAGAGTGTCTACGAGGTGTGTGTGTGTGTGGGTGTGTACGATGTTGTTAATAGTTTTGCTTTCGCTTGTGTAGCAGTCAATGCCTGGAACGATGCTCTTCACGCCGATCCCGATCACGTTCGCGCTCACGCTCACGATCTCGATCCCGGTCACGCCGCTCCCGATCCGATGAGCGATAACGTTCGCGTTCCTCATAATAACGTTTAGATGACGGCGCTTCGGCAGCTTCGGCCACCACTGGCTCCGGCGATTTACGTGGACGTGCGGAGCGGCTGCTGCTACATCATAGATTGGACATTTTTTTTTATTAGCTACAAATGATTGAGCAAATTAAGCAACTCCAACTACCTGTCATCTCTGTAGTGATCCGGCGCCTGACGCTCGCGTTCACGACTGCGTGAACGCTCCCGATAGCTGCTGTTGTACATAAGGTAAGTGGTGTTAATTTTTAATGAATAATATGGGGTACTTTTATTATTATTTTACATCTCAACTTACCCTCCATCACGCTCCCGTTCACGTTCACGATCGCGATCACGCTCTCTTTCGCGGGAGCGCTCTCGATAGCGTGAAGTCGATCGCTCGCGACGCTGCCGACTGCGATGGGAGCGATCCCGTGAACGCGAACGCTCGCGACGATTGTAGCTCTTGGCCTCGATGCCGTGCAGCGTGTCCTGCAGTGAGCTGATCAATATCTTACAGCGCTCATCGTGCGCCACTTTGGATTGCTTGATCAGGGAAATGGCCGTAACTAGCGTCTCAATGGCGCTCGAATACTCGCCAGCCGCAGCATCCGAAACAGCTCTGTGATCGTCGGAAAACAACAACACATTCACATAATTACAGAAATGAAGCTACTTCAATATATTTTGTATGTTTCGGCTCACCTGGCAATTGCCGAGCTGCTGACCGTGCGATTTCTGCTCATGACTTCCTCGAACTCAACCTCCGTGAGCTGCGGTCCCATTTGCGGATCAGGGAACGATCCTGGCGGTTTGCCTTGTGGTGGTCCTGGCCATGGATTGCGTGGACCACCCTGCTGTGCAAAATGAGGTGGAGGTCCGTGCTGTGGCGGCATATTCATGCCCGGCTGTGGTCCCGGCTGACCGTGTGGTGGCCCACCCATGCCTGGATGCGGCGGCGGACCGCCGGGTTGATTAAAGAATGCTGGATTCACGTGCGGTGCTGGTGCGCCATGTGGTCCACCCGAACCGGGCGGTGGACCAGGACCCATTTGCGGACGTGGAGGACCCTGCATATGGGGTGGACCCTGCGGGGGCCCTTGGGGTGGAAAGCCCCCATGCATTGGCGGACGACGCCAGTCCGGACCCGGCCCCGGACCACGCACTGGCATTCCCATTGGACCTTGGAACTGCAAAAAGCAAAGCACAGAACGCAGAGTTTAGAAACTGGGCTCCAATAGTACCGAAGGGTTAAATATGCAACTTGGCCAAGTGGCAGATTAGGTGGGAAGGTGTGTGGGTAGCGATGGCAGCCTCGTCGTGGATATATGCCAAACGGGTTTGTATGTATCCATATAAATATATATATATATATATATATATATATATATATATATATATATATATATATATATATATATATATATATTGTGTGTACGTGTGTGTTTGGTGGGTGTTCAAGTTACAAACATGTGCAGTTATTTAAATGTTCTGAATACAATTAATGAGACCATCTAATGTCGTTTTCTAAGTTAACTTAAATTGGGTTAGTTTCGGTTTCGTTTTTTGTCTACTATATTATAATTAGATATGTTTTAAATATATAGATAGGATTTTTCTTTGGCATTTTTTGAATTTATATATATATACATGTGTATTTGTTTATTTGTTAGGAATTTGTTACCATTGGTGGTCGTTGCAGTGGTCCATTTGGTGGACCCGGTCGGGGTCCACCGGGACGTTGACCTGGCCATTGACCTTGCGCTGGCGGATACCTGGGAGGCGGCTGTTGGTTGCCCATTGGGCCGCCTTGTTGATGCATTGGCGGCTAATATTATAACGTATTTTATGTAGTTGTTGTTGTGGTGGGTAGCAGTGTGCGTAAGCGTTGTCAAAAAACACATGGAATGGAATATAAATATAAAGCGTAATACATAAACATTTTTATATTATTTATTTTTTTTTTGTAAAGAGAGTACAATACAGACTATTAGAGGTACACACATATATAGATCACAAACAAATGCAACACATTTACAAAATCATAAATATTGCCATTAAATTACATATTTGCTCCAAAAATACTTCAAACTAACTGTTTCAACTATGGCTTGCACTATATTACAAATAAAACTAATTGTAATGTATATAACTTATGCATAAGGGAATGATACAAATATATAAAAAATTGCTCTGAAATTACCAAAATATGTAGTGTACTTAAAACATAAACAACAACAAAATACACAGTCAAATTATTGATCAATATTATTGTATTTGCTTTTGAACTTTTTTGGAATTTGTAAATTCTTTCTATTGAAATCATTAAATAAAAATATAGTAAGTACATTTAGTAAATCTTCATTTTTCTAGATACATTAAACCACTGTTGAATTTTAATGACGGTCTTATAAATATAAAAACATATGTATAGATTCTGCCTGGAACTTGTAAGAAAAAAAACGGAAGATATACATACCAATCAGTTCACTTAAATAAATTATATATTTTTAATAATCCACATACAATATATAATGAAGTAAAAACGCGACCAATTATTCGACTTGTGTGATAAAACAAAATTTTGCATTCAGAACAATTTCAATGATTAAAAGTTAAATAAAAACAAATGTAAATGGCGTTTTGTTAATACGGGCTGACGACCCAAACAATCCCAAGACCTTTTTTGTTGGTAAAAATCAAATAACAAAGCTACGACTTAAGGGCAAAATGCGAAATGGGTGGGAAATAACCAATGCATATTGCAAAAAGCTCACCTGCATGCGTGGAGGTCCAGAATTGGGTCCAACCTGCGGCACCTGGGACATATGTGGCCGGTATTGGCCAGGCTGCATGCTGGGATTCATGCGTGGTGCATGACCGGGCGGTCCACCTTGAGGCACGCCCGGATGCGGCGGCATCGGCCCACCCATATTGGGTGGTGCAGGACCACGTGGTGGTCCATTCTGCTGCGGCGGCGGCACTGGACGTGTCTTTTGCAGGCTCTCAAATTGCGTGAGAGCCTGCTTGCTCGGATACGTGACTACCACGGTCTGGCCGTGCATCTCCTTTTTGGGCAGCTGATCGAGTACGGTGCGGAGGCTCGGTTCCGAGCCGAGCGAAATGACGCTGAAGCCCTTGGATTGACCATTCGCACGATTCTCAAAGAATTTGACCTCCTGCAGATCGTTGACACCAATTTCGCGCAATGCATTCGAGATGTCCTGATCGGTTGTCCACCAGGTCAGATTGCCCACATATAGTTGATAGCGTCGGTTCATCGTTGGAGTTTGGCTACCACTGCCCTGATGGTAAACTCCATTCGGTCCGATGTTCGAGGAGCCGTCAACGGATCCGGGTCCAGAAGAGTTTTCGCCCGTTGGGGTGCCACCACCGCAGCCGCCGCCCGCAGTAGCTGGCTCAGTGGGGCCGCCGATATCATCATATAAATCGACACCGTCGCCACCAAATTCATCCTTTATGCAAAATTCATCCTTTAAAATGTCGATATATATGAATATATATATACATATTATATGTGTTTATCGATATTATTGCAAATATCAACAATGTTATTTAATCCATCTTCATACATACATAAATATGTATATACAAAGCGTGGTTGTTTCTTACCTTTACTTGCCCGACAAAATCTTTGTCCAGATCTTCGGCATATAAGTCCAGCACCACGCCGTCGGCCATGGTTGCGTGAACGTTAAGTGGACGAAGAAAAAAAATTGATTTTAAACGCACGCGACCAACTTATTTAGCGGTGCCGTGCACACTTTTCTCCCCTTTTCAAAAACACACGCACACAATCACAAGCCGCTCGTACAGTCGAACAAGCTGCCACCGGCGTGCGGCGTACGTATAAATGTAAGTAATGGCCGTAGTTGTCAAGTAACACTTTGTATTTTGCTGCTATAAATATGCGTTATTCACATATATTGTATATACATTATAAACAACACAGCTTCTTTTCGACTATGTTGCGAAAAATTTTCTGCAGCTACAGCTAAAATGGCGGAGATGTTCAGAGTGACCGTACTGTTAGTTTGAAACTATGCATAGAACGCCATATTTAGCACAAGTTTCTGTATAACAATTTTCAGCACTGCTTTTTAGTTCTAGCATTTTTTTTGTTTTGCACAAAATTTAGCGGCTATTTGAAACTCGAAATATAAAGTGGTGGCCTACATAATCGGATATAGCTCTGTTGCAAATAACTTTTAATATGTTTTAATTGTATATACCACTGTGAAATAAGTATTTTGCTTATGGTATTCGACTTTTTCATGTGAGAATCATAATTTATTTTTCTAGTTTTTAATATTTGGTATTAATCTACGATAGGACTGGTAGTTTTATTGGGTCTGAGATTGCAATAAGTAATTCCAGGGCCTATGCATGCTGCAAATCCCATTAGATGCGGGATTGTGTTTTGCTCGTAAACACCGCTGAACAAATGTGCCCAAGGTCCTGTATTTATAAATTAACATTTAAATATATATTTTTTACTGGACTATACTGCAGCTTACCATTAGCGTATACGGCAACGTCTCCACCGCCGTGAGTTTCCTCAGACATGGGCACACCATGTGGATACCTTGCTTTCTTATGACCGATATTCAAAGTGCGGAGATCAACGCGATCAACCTCATTCCCCGATACCTTATAGAATTTTTTATAATTCGGTCCGTTGGCGTATGATAATGTTGCATAGGGTAAGTTATCAACATCGCTTAGTTCTGAGTTAAACCCGGTTATATTGTTGTTTATATCCGCGTATCCGTTAATAGTCATAGTATGTCCGTGATCGGCAGTGACAACAATCAGAGTGTCCCAACGATTGGTTAACTGTCGCGCTTTTCGAACAGCATTTGAGAACTGGACCGTTTCGTCTAAAGCCTTCTTGGCTTTGGTCTCATGATGGGCATGATCGATACGACCGCCTTCGACAAACAGAAAGTACCCAGCTGGATCTTGCGACAACACTTCAATTGCCGCTTCAGTCATCTCCTCAAGCGATGGCGTATCAATGCTATCATCCAAATTATATGCCAGATGCGAGGTATTGAACAAACCCAACAAGTAGTCCGTATAGCGGGCGTCATTTCTCAGCAGATCCGTGCGATTGAAGACAACACGTGCATTGCCAAATTTGCTACGTTGCCACTCCTCAATTAGATTACGTCCATCCAAACGTTGGCCAAGGTTGCCATACACATCCCTCATTGTGTTGGGCAAGAATTTCTTGGTACCTCCACCAAGCACTACCCTCAAGCCTTGACCTACCTCGTCCAATAGTTGCTGGGCGATGTCCGGACAATTGTTCGGATCATGGCCCAGATCATGTACATCGAAATCGCTTTCAAAGTCACGATTCGAGGTGTGTGCATAGACTCCAGCTGGACTCGCATGGGTTACACGGGTTGTAGTCACCAGACCGGTCGACTTGTGGCCTCTCATTGCCCAGGCTGCAATGGAGGATAGTTGATTTTGGGGTAGCTTAGCTCCGCTGCAATCATTACGCTTAACGTCAGCGGATACACCGATTGTCTCATAATTGGCCTTTACACCGGTTAAGTAGGCGGAAGCGGTGCAGGCAGAGTCTGACACTTGTTTATCGACGCAGTAGGTCTGTAAATAAAAATGAATATGGTTTGTCCATTAGATAATATTACATTTAAATTAAGAAACACATTAATTGTTACCTTTGACAACCCCACATAGGGAAACTTTTCAAACTCCAGACGATTGCGTTCGCCTATGATCCCCCTTTGTTGACCGTCGTATATTCGGCCTGCTGTCACTGTCGGCACGGACATGCCATCGCCCAGGAAGAAGATTATATTCTTGGCCTGATATTGATTGGGCTGCATGGATAGCTTTTCGTAAAGCGTACTCTGGGCATCAGAAAACCAAAAGTCCTTGCTCTTCATCTCATTTTTGGAACGAATATTCCATGTGGGATCTGCATAAGAAAAGCACACAAGAAAGCGAAAAAAATTAGGGCGAAAGTTTAAATTACGCTGAATAAAAAATAACAATATTTGTATTTCACACATCTGTTCTAGTTATCAATTAATTAAGCATATCTTAACGTGTTTTGTTTTGCTCTTCGAATTCTTGAGTCAATTTTTCACAGTCTCTTTTGATATATATGCACGTATATGTGGCACACGGTTAAATGTCACGCACCTGGCCCAGAAAAGTATTGGCAGTAGCAGAAAGTAAATTGAATTGAGAACGCTAAGCAAAAGATACGCATCGTCACAGCGATAGTTGAATTTTGATGATTATAGTAATAAAACTTTCGACTGCGGCCGACAGCAAAAATATCCGAAAGAGTTTTGACGTCTGCGGCGCTCGAGAACTGATTAAGCCTCGTCGTAGGGAATACGTGCTTATTTATTAAAAAGTTTAGAAGATTGAAAGCTACATAATATTATTGTATAAAACGAACGGTAGACGCAAACGTTTTCTGGTTTGAGATACAGGTTTTATTAAAATATAAAATGTGTAACCTACATTCACATTCTATTTATCTAATCAAATATGTATAGGTATAATACAGATGTGTGAAGAATTTAGATAATTAAAACCGCTTTTGTACATCGTTAACTGCAGCTGCACCGGTTTCAAGCAAGCAAATGATTTAAACTACGTTTAAAAGAATGTTGAATGAGGTATGATAATGAGTATTCCCTGTTTTTCTATCTTTCTCTTGATTCTCACTGTAGAATTATGTGAATAAATTGAAAACAGATTGGCTATAATTAATATAAGCTGATTAAATATATTAATTTTAATTAATAATATATATATTCATTATTACTATAATTTATTTGCGTGACATATTGTATTATTTTTATAATTATTATTAATATAATGGTTTAGAGAATTTAGAATCCAGTTTTCAATTATTTTCAGTTTATTTGTTGTTTAAATGACACGGAATAATGTTCGAAAATAAAACACAAATTTTTTATTATGGACATGATCGAAAAGTGTGAATTTTCTCAAAGTATGAAATGCATAAGCAGTAATGTCAGAATCCGCTTTTGCTTACTCCTTTCCTTCTTGCCTTCGATTTTTTATATATATTATAAAATATATAAATATATATATATTATAAAATATATAAATATATATATATTATAAAATTTATAAATATATATATATTCTTACATATGGCATTCTTTCGGGTTTTGTTGTGATTTTACTGTTTTTTTGAGCACAATTACTTTGGAGAGCCGCTACAAGCGATCTTTGCCTTACAAGGCATTGGCAAAAAACGTTACGTAGTCAGCATATTAACACTTATTAAATATTGCATTCAAGCTTATTCAAAAAGCAGTTTTTAGCACAAATTCATATATATTATTTAAATTTGGTTACTTAATCGCTTACGCTATCCAACACTGAAAGACATCTTGGTCCTATTGAGATATATCGATACAATCTTAGCAGCAATGCTTTTGTAACCACGGTCACACTTACCGCTAACAATACGATTGTTTGAGTTATCGATTCGCATTTACCATCACTATAGATTCACGAATTTCTTGCAAAATTTATTCGCTTTTTTTTTTTAAGAAAATCGTTTATGTGTGCAAATTATTATATATTTAATTGACATGCGCTAGATAAAGCTTTGATCACAAAACTTCGCTGTTCAGGGAGACAAGGGCAAACAAGGTGAGCAATGACAAATAGGCAAATAATAAAACAAAGACTACTCAAGTCCCCCGCGAAGGGTAAAAACAGAAACAAACACACACACAAAGAAAAGCCCAAATTACAGGTGTATGTGGCTGAAACGCATATAATGATATAAGTGTAGTGTTTATTTTAATTGCGAACAACAAAAATCTATTGGAAATTTGCAGCGTAGAAACAACAACTGGTTCTTGTGACTTTGAAAAGTAGATCGTCAAGGTGTCTGCATACGAAAGCATGGATTTACAGCATATGGAGAATGGCCTCAGCGGCAGTGGTGGAGGCGGAGGAGGAGGTGGCGGTAGCAGTAGTGGAGGGGGCCTCAGTGAGATTGACTTTCAGCGATTGGCCCAAATAATCGCGTCAAGCATACAAAAAGTCCAACAAAATGGTAAGCATTTGTTTTGGGGCGTGTTTTTTTTAACTATGACTAATCGCTATGCCCCCTCAACCATCATTCCACAGTGTCCACTATGCAACGTATGGTTAATCAGTTGAACACGCCACAGGATTCGCCCGAATTGAAAAAGAAACTGTAAGTATGCCTTTGCTATCAAAAAACTATATTTATATATACATATATATATATATATATATATTGTGTGAAATCTTCTGAAAATACCATGTACTCTTTACAAAGTCATCAGTTAATGACCTACACCAAGCAACTGGTGACCGATACAAACAATCAGCTGAAGGAGGTGGACAAGTGCAAGGAGCGACATTTGAAAATACAACGCGATCGTTTGGTGGATGAGTTCACTGCTGCTCTGACCGCTTTTCAGGTATCTTAATCTTTGCTTATCGTTATGCACAACAAACCAATATGTCATTCATTATCTATGCTTTTTTTGTTGCCAGGCCATACAACGCAAAACGGCTGATATTGAGCGTAGTGCTTTGCATCAGGCGCGCGCCAATAATTTCAGCATTGCACATCCGCCCGGCTCGACGCGGAGCAGCAGCACCACCAATGGCAGCAGCGCTGAAAATGGTTCCTTTTTTGAGGATAACTTTTTTAATCGCAAATCAAATCAGCAGCAGCAACAGCAGCAATTGCAAACGCAAATGCAAGAGGAAGTGGACCTACAAGCACTTGAGGAACAGGAGCGTGCCATCCGCGAGCTAGAAAACAATATTGTGGGTGTCAACGAGATATACAAGAATCTAGGCGCTATGGTCTACGAGCAAGGCGTAACTGTCGACTCCATTGAGTCGCAGGTGGAGCAAACAAGCATTTTCGTCTCACAGGGCACAGAGAATTTGCGCAAGGCTAGTTCTTATAGGGTAAGTAGTTGATAATATAGTGCAATCTGCTATAATTATATTAAATGTGTATTCCATTGCAGAACAAAGTGCGAAAGAAGAAACTTATACTGGTTGCCATCCTAAGCGCTGTACTATTGGCCGTCATATTGATACTCGTGTTTCAATTCAAGAACTAAACATTCGGACCCAGCAACTAGCAAGCATCTGCAAATCTAATATAAAAAGAAAAACTAGTTAATTGTTGTGAAAAAGACAAGAGTTGCCGCATGCAGGCCCCCTAATCATAATTTAGATGCATTTGTGGCTTTAATACTACAATTTAACTTTCACAAAATAATTGGCGAAGAACGGCAAAGTCGTAAAAAATTGTCTACTTATGTTGCATGTATCGAAAAGTAGTTACAAAAATCACAGTAAAGCGGCGCTTATACACACATATATACACACACATATATATATAAGCATCCATATGTTATAAATACTTATTCTTATATTTTTATTATATATATGAATATATGTATTATGTTTTTAAATAATGCACTTTGTATTCGCGCATTCTCAAAATTTGTTAGCTGCAATTCCTAATTCCGTTTCCAAACTGATTTGCCAGCGCTTTGTAATGTATTTAATTTTAAGAGGAAGGCATCAAAAAAGTATAGTATACATATATATATATATATACATATATGCGATGGTATATGATAATACACATTAAAAATAAAATTAACGAAAAATCTGTAAGATCAATGCAGTCGAAAATCATTACACAAAGCATTTCGAGTACTTCATTTCGGGGCACTGCATGAAATAAATGGAATCAATGAATGGATTGGAGTTCAGCACCATTTCGTTTGGGTATACAAAATATGCCAGATCATCGCCATGGTCGCGTCATCAACGCCTCGCACAGCCTTAACGATCATTAAGATTTGTTGTGCACACTGATGATACGCATGCTTCAGCGGCTTAGCCCCTGGCTGGAGCACCGCTTGGCCAACTGGGTGTTCATCAGACATTAATGCAACGGCAGACGGTATATCGATGCGATGTGTGTGTGTGGATGTGTGGATGCTGCCACTTGAGCCGCAGCCGTTGTTGAGGTGTGTCAAGTAAAGGGTTTCCTCGGGGTCTCGGACTCTGGCCTGCATACAAATTGAGTTTAAATTTTATTTTTGCCAATTCACTGACATTGATAGTTCGTTTGGGCATCGTTTGTGTCGTGGTGGTGGCTTCTTATCCACTTGTTGGCATCGAGTGGTTTTCTCGCATGCATTTAAGTGCAGCTCATTTCCTTCTTCTCTATCGCCCTGGAAGGGGCCCAGAGCCAACCATTTTTGTGCTGTGTCATGTAGCTATTTTTAATACTAAGTCGATTTTTACTCTTTACTGAAGCGGAAGTACATTAACTTTAATATAATGCAGATAACGTAGAACGTATTAATAGGACAATTAAATATATAAATTGATCCTGTTTTATCAAGGACTTATAGAAATTATAGTTTGCTTACACATTTTTTTCTATAAGTATGGAACACTTTTTTTCTGATGCTTTAAATTGCATTTTTTTTTATATTATATTCTTTAAATGTTTGTAGGTCCGAAATAACTGATGGGATCGAGATAAAAATGTACGTGATACATTACAAATTGCCAGGCAATTAAGTTCTCATATAAATTTATATGTTTGTAAGAGTATCTATGATTCGATGTCTTGCACACAGTTTTCATTTGTTATTTGTGTTGAGCCTGCTTGGACTGTCAGTGGCTGTCTAAATACGTCACCGAGTATTTTTTGGAATTAAATTATTGATTGCTGGTCGACTGGGGGTTACAGTTAACGACACGGCCTAATCACATCGATTATCGGTGCATGTACATCGGATGGCACTTGGCACTTGGCAGGTTGGACGCTTCCATTCATAACTCTTGGCTGCTACGACAAAATCCAGTCTAGGGGCCACAGGTCACGTTGCGGGGCGTTGATTCAAGTGCGAAGGTGTTGGACATTAACAGAACTATGCACACCTCGCACGCAGCAGGTAGCAGCAATACCGAGTAGCACGCTGTGTGAGATGTGCATGTTAATGTACCTAACTGTGGGTGCGGGGTAGTGTTTGCATAGGCTGGGCCCATGATAATATTGACACATTCGGTGGTCAGCTCGGAATCTCATTTGCAAAGTCATTTTGTACAAATAAATCCAGCCTCTGTTCAGACGAGTCTTTTTCCCAACCGTAAACCGTATGTTTTGACTTTGGTTTTTGGCAGGAAAGGAGCAATGGAATTTCCGCAGCACGGATTGACTTACCAACTTAGCAACTTGCTGGCCAGGATTGGGGATTGGTAACGAGTCCGCAACCCAATCGCTTAATCCTCTGCACACATTTCACACGTTGCTTACCATGGCTTGCCTGTAACATCCAAGCAGCCAAGACGTAAACATCCGGCTGTGGCATTTCCCAAATCAATAAACTTATTATTACGAGTACTTACACATCATATACCCATATATATACTTATGTACGTATATCCCTCAGTTCCATCTTGCCTTTTATTCGGAAAAATCTTAATTAAGCATTTGCTACGTTTTTATGAATGAACTGATGAGTTGCCCACACCGTCCACTGCCCCTCCCCTGCCATTTAGCCAACATTCTTAGTTCCGCCCCCGTCTTAAATATTACAGCAATTTAAGTGGAATTACTTGTGGCCTGTAAATCTTTTGAATTTTTATGAAAAACACAAATGCCAAATGGGAAATTCGTTTGATTGTGCTACCTTAGCGATTGGGCTGTAGACGGGTGGTGGCGTGTCGGAACTGCTGCTGCAACTGCTTCAACACTTTACACAAACAACACTTTCAACATTTTTATTAATGAAATTCGCAGAAATAGTGGCCCACTGACGAACCGAATAAACTGCTCTCACCTTGCCACCTCTCATTTTTATGAACTACTACTGAGCATGAGTCTGATCACTTCAGCTTCATTTCCTCCTCGCCGACGGCGATAGATACGTCTATATATATATATATATATATATATATATACTATATATATTGGGGGCTGGTACACTTCTAAACAAATTGGGTGTCAAAAAGTGCGCACATTTCAAAAGATTTAACCGTTTTGCAGCACGCTTTGATCTATGCCGCCGACGCAGACGCCGCCGAGCAGTTTATGTGGCTGCTGCTACTGCTGGAGCCTGCTGCTACTTGGAGCTAGGCAAATCGGTGCACAGTGGGCTCAGAGCTGCAACAGCAGGAAACGGAGAAAAGCCTTTACAGAAGTGTTTTCATATTACAATTAAATTAAAATCGAAAATCTCTCACATATTAAACTATTATATCAATTAAATTCTATTTATAAAGAGACCAATTATATATATTTTCACTCAATTAAATTTCAATCATTACCCACTGTGGCATATTGTGGCTATCGCCTGTGCTACTCTCAATATAAACACGTAGTATATCTTTTATCTGATTTGGTTATTGTACCACGCGCCGGCTGAAAAAAAAAGCGTCAACGGTGCAAAAAATGCCAAACGGCCCCTTCGCGAACTTGGGGCACTGTTTTTTATAAATTAACACCACCAGGCAATGCATATATCCACAACCCGAGGAGAACAGAGTCCCCTAGGCAAACAAAAAGGCAAAAAAAAAAGAAGAAACGATATATAGTTTAAAGGAAGATCAATCCAAGCGCAGCGGCGGCAAATTCGCAAACGCAATGGAAACTGTAACAGAAGTAAAATGAAAGTGTATATTGAGTTGTCTGCCGCTGGCCGGGATTAGGGGTGAACAATTGATGCAGTGGAATCGCATAAGGGGGATGCCACCGTGCTTGAGTATTTTGGGTATCTCTATTGTGCGCTCTCTCGTGGATTATTTTGGTAGGTGTCTCTAGCTGTATCTGTGGCCCATTTGCTGCCGCTTTGTTGTGTAATTGTTTGTTTACCAGTTTGCAACAAAGCCAGACAAAAGGCCATGGCCAAAAGATTTCACAGTTCAGCGGTTCACACACGTTCCAAAAAAAAAAAAAACACAAAAAAATACAGCAGAAGAGAGCATAGAATAGTGAATCAAAATCCAAAGCTGCAATAACAAAATCATCTTCGGGCAATGTATCTTCTTCTCGGGGCACGTCAAATTATTTCTGGTGGCGCGTTCTGCGCGCCTCGTTTATCGTTTTTTAATTGTTTTTATTTTCTTTTCTTTTCTTTTTATTTTCTGGTAACATTTTCCGTTTATCCATTGGCGCTACTAACGGCTAATTGTGGCTGACATTAATGTCACTATGTATTAAATATAGCGCACATTTCGTGATCCCGCCACAGACACGAATTCCCCCCTTCGGCAGCTCCATTTCATATTTGGGAGTCGGTAGGCGTCATATATACCATGTGCCCCACGATCACATCCAAGGGGGCTCCATGATGCTAAGCAACGTGTTGACAGCGAGTGACAGACACATTCATTAGGCGGAATGATTCATATGCCACCCTCCGGATGCAGTGGGACTCTCTCCATGGTCTATTGGATTGGTCTGCCACTGATCTCATAAATGGGCTCATTTGAAGAGCATTAGGGCAAATGATTTAGCGATGTGGTTTTGGCTGTTGATCAATCAAATGATGTACGAGTTTATTATGATTAGAGTTACTTATGCGTAAAGCAATCACATCTTGATTTATATGTTCTGAATTGTATTCGATTAATATAAGTAAATGTAGCACTATAAATTGGCTGCTGGAAAATGTTGACTTGAATTCAATTTTGTGATATTCCAACTTCAAAAGACAACCAAATTCCAATAACTGAATTAATTCTAGTTGTACAAATGGCAATTATAACAGGAAGCGCAAAAGAAATCCCAGAACGATTTTCGCTTATTGCATAAGAGGCAAACCAATTATGGATTACGACCTCAAGTCCATATGCGCGAATAATATTATGATTGTAAATATTGAACAACCGGCCAGGGGACGTGTGCATACTTATACAATCTATGATTGTGTGCATGTGTGTGTGGCACATCATTTCATATGCACGCTGGGGGCACCACTCGGACACAAAGAGGGCGCGGCCAAGTAGCCTCCGGTTGCTTTGGAAGAGTGCGCGACAATGCGAAAAATTGTTCAATCGATTGACGGAGGAGCAAAGCGCCAGGATTCCGTGTATGGGAATATTCCTGACTGGGTTAAAGTTAAATCAAAGAGTGGCTGATAGCAAATCAGAAAGGTTCGCATCGGATCCATTCGGTGCACATATATTTATAAGTACATATATATATATTCAATGTGGAGAGAGAGAGCTGGAATGTATATGTGTTTTTTTGTGCCTGATTGTTTTTTATCCATAACAAGCCCCGGGTCACATTTATAATAGACTCAGTGTGTGTGTGTGTGTATGTATGTATTTGTAACTGTTGCACAGGTGCAAAAGTTCACATAGACTGATAGGAGATGGTGCAGTCAGCGACTTGGACTTGGACTCTTTAAATTCTGTTGAAATTCAATAGAATTTCGGGGGCAAGCGGCATTCCCCGGCTTCCTCCGTAATATGAGCACCATCTGCATACAGTAAATTATACAATGAATGCGTAACCATAAAACCTGTCCCAGACTGTAAAACCAATCCAATTCCAAGTGTCATGCTATTTTTGGGCTGCACCAAAAAATTTGTCGCCTGTTGGCCTCAAGTGGATTCAATAGCCTCCGAATTCATGCCAGACTGCCGGGCGACAGTTTTTCCAGACATCATTGAGCTAT